ATCAGTTCTTTCTCTGGAGGTGGATAGTATGCTTCATCGTCAGTCCTTTGGGATTGTCTTGGACCATTGCATTGCTGAGAATAGTTAAGTCATCCACAGCTCTTCATCAAACTGTTGTTACTATGTACAATATTCTCCTGGTTCTATTCACTTCACTATGCATCAGTTCATGTAAGTCTTTCCAGGTTTTTCTGAAATCATCCTGTTTGTCATTTCTTATAGCAGGCACAAAAACTCACTGAACAGAACTCCTTAAAAAGTAAAATGGGCCAAATGGAAGAGAAAACTTGGCATCTTATACTCCTTCCAGTGAGTATTACTGTAGAACAGGCTGCTTGTGGCCCGCCAAAAGATGCAGAGGATGCAAATGATGCAACAAGTACTTTGTCTGTGCCCACTTAACCCACAGTAGTCACTATTGTGCCCATCATATAACTTTGTGGGTGGGTTGCCACTGTGATGGCTCTCCTGTTTGTCACGTGACCTGTGGCAACCAACCATAGTCAGTCTGTCTCTAGTCTGAGAGGAGTGATTTCATAAGTAAAAATCTTAATAAGTGTAATTAATTGATATTAATTGAAATTTCCCTTTTTAAAAAAAATTGGTTTGTTTGCAAGATAGTTTAATCATTAATTATACCTTCGCTAGGAAAGTGAGCCACTAAAACCTATCTGCATCCTGAAGAAGTTTTGCCTATTTTATTTTTGGCCTCTAATTACCGCCAAGTTGTGCCAGTCTGCTGTAGAATAACTGCATAACAGCCTTTAAGGATCACTAGTATAGGAAGTGGGACTTATTGTTCCTTTTAGGTAAAATATTAATAGTAAGATTGGTTGAAAGCATGAGAAAAAAATTCTAAAAGCTTGTGTAAAGATTTTATTTCCACTATATTCATTAACAAAATCAGCTCACGTTAATTTCATTTCTAATAAAGGGGATAGAAAAAGCCTAAGCCATTTAAAAATAAATGCATTCTCCATCTGAAACCACATTTTATTGACCTACCACAAGTGTGTTGTGTTCCCAAAGATCTAACCTTGTTCCATGGAGACATATTTCATCACCTGTTGAATTTCTGCTTGACTTTTAAAGCTGAACTCAGAGGAACATCCTTCATGAAGCCTTCCCTGATCTCTTCCTTGACAACCTTCCCCTCCTCAAATTCACGTAACACTTTGCACCTCTTTATGCATTTTTCATGCAATTATGGAATATTGTAGGTTTCTGTGTATTTGTTTTATTCCCATTTGAGACTGTTAAGATCCACAGTGGGGGCCATATCTTATTTAAAAAGTTCCTATCTCTCCCAATGCCTAAAGAGTGCTCTTTACACAGGAACCACTTCATGTTTCTTAAATTAAATTGAATTCACCATCCCAGTTTATTCAGAGGAGCAGAAGGCATTGGTCAGAAAAGCCCATAATTATTTTTCTTGGTAAAAAAGTAGGTAGCTAACTCAGCTTGGAAAAAAAAAAGCTAACATTTATATAGCACATACAATGTGTTGGGCACTGTGCTAAGTGCTTTACAATTATTATCTTAGTTGATCCTCACAACAACCTTAGGAGGTAGGTGGTATTATTATCCCCATTTTACAGATGAGGAAACAGGTCAAAGTGAAGTGATTTGTCCAAAGTCAAACAGGGATTTGAACTCAGGTCTTCGAACTCAGGTCTTCCTGACCACAGGCCTAGTGGTCTACCCCACTGTGCCAACTCACCACCAAAAATGAAACAAAAACACAAAGCAAAATCATGGCCAACTAGCCATCTGGGTCACCACCCTCTTTAGCAACCTTTGGTAGAAAACATCTAGTTCCAAACTCAGGAACAGGTTTTCAGTATTGATGGTTTGGATGAAAATATATATCATGGAACCATAGTGGATAGACTCCCATGCTATTACACAAAAGCATATTTAAACCATGAGGTACTTGAAGAATATTATTAAGGAATCTAACCAAAATGTAATAACAGTGTTTCTCTGAAACTTAAAAACTTGGGATGCCAGAAACACCTTTATCATCAGAAACAAACCTTTCCCTAACACCCTCTAACAGCTGAGTCTGTCATTAGTAGAGAAGCCCATGGCATGAGGTAGAAGTGCCAGCAGAGGAAGGGGGATGGGCAGTGGGAGAGGACGGGGTTGTCCAGTGTAAATCTACAGGGATGCTGTGTGGTTAATTTACAGCGGGTTAGTTGGTTATTCCATTTTTCTGAGGGCTGTAGCTTGCTTCCTTCCTTTCCTTCACCAATACTCATTCCTTAGACCAGCATTTCTTTTCTTCTCCTGCCTACTGAAGAACAAAAGGCCAGAACCACATTGGGGCAAATTCTTTGAAGTCTTATTTTTTTAATGTTTTATTTTTCTTCATTCTTATATGTCTAGCATCTAGCTCAGTGCCTTGAACAGAATGTGCACTTAATATTTACTAAATTAAACTGCTCTATTTGGGGGACACCCAGGTTGGTGTTCTCTCTGCCTTATCATTATTTCTGAGGTCCCTTTAAGTACAAAATTCCTGTAAAGTCACAGCAGAACAGAATAATTTTACAAATTCTCTCCTGTCCCTGAAAGAGGCAATAGTTTTGAGATTTTTTCTCTTTAACATAAAGGGTTTTTTTTTCAACTGCTGGTAAAAAGGAGGGGAAAAGAGAAGGCATATTCTTCCCTATCCTGGTCTATTTTTTTTTTCCCCACTTAGACTGATTATAGAAAAGATGCAGGTTTATCATGCAACAATAATGGGAAATCTTTGGGCAAATCATAACTTCTCCCGGCCTCAATTTCTTCATTGTAAAATGGAGCTCATACTTGCACCATCTACCACACAGTGTTGTGGGGATTAAAGTACTTTATGTAATATAATTTATACCCATAAAGTATAATACAAATGCTAATATTTCTCCTAATTTCTAGTTTATATACCCTTTTTAGGTCTGCAAAACGTAATACATTATCTCAGTTCTCAACAATTCCATTAAGTAGGTGCCATTATTATTCTTGTTTTACAGATGAAGAAACTGAGTCTTGGAGCACAGTGCCCAACATGTAGTAGGCACCTAATAAATGTTTACTGATTTCAGTATTTTGAGTGTATATATATATATATATATATTCTAACACACTAGAGACATCACCTTGTATAATCCAATGCTATCAAAGGAACAATCATTGCTCTTTCCCAATATTCTAATATTGGAATTCCAATATACCTAAAATTCCAGCTCTTATTCAGTAAGGGCAGTAGTAGATGTAACCCATGAGTTGATTCAAAACTCCCAAAGAGATGATGTTAATAAAAGATTTATCCATAAAACTGTATTACACAGTGAAATGTTTAATAAGTGATTATTAAAATAATCATAAATTATGTTTTCATTACTGAAAGTCTCAAAGAACATTTCCCCCTGTAATTAAAAGTAACCATTTTGTATCATGCAAAAGTATTTTTATTACATTCATGAATACAGACTCAATATTTCAATACAAGTATGTATACGATTCACAAATCTGAGGGTCTGTGAGAAATTAAAATTTCTTTAAATACTATCAAAGTTTTACATCGTATGCTATTGGCATACTTATATTCACAGTTTTGGAAGTACGAAAAACAAATGTTTAATTTAACTTCAGTTCTAAGACAAATGCATATAATGTGACACATTCACTAGTTTTGGTCTGTTCTTCTAAAACATGACAAAAGTCACTTAGAGGAGAAATTTCTTAAAAGAACAAACTCAACAAGTCAGCAGCATATTTTCACTTAAACTTGTTTGGAAGTTAATGTTCTAGTAAACAAAGTGCAAAGTCAATTCTTCAGCTGAGATTTTTAAAGTTTAAAGTACAAATCAACAGGTTTAAAGATCTTCATCAAAATGGTTGTATGTTGACATCACTAAATAGTAAATGATTTTTAATCAGATTGCTCTCAAATTTTAAGATTTAATAACACAATGTTGATTTTACTAGCCAACTGTACGTACTCAAAAGTCAGAAGACAGTAACCCCTCTCTATACCACTCAGTTAGTCACAGAGATTGTGGATTATCCTCAGAATGGACAGACAGCCTCCAATAAGACACCCCTCCAAAACCAGTGTCTTTTTAATTCCTTGTTACTGGAAAGCCTTTGGGGCTACACACTCTGCATGAATACAGGAAGTTCCCTAGTGCTGATTCATTTAAATATAATGCTGAATTCTATGGCTCTGAGGATCCACATTCTCACTAACCTGGGGTGAGGTAGGGGTGTAAGTGGGAGAGGGAAGGGAAATGGAAAAGAGCTACAGAGAACAAGTTTGTAATAATTTAGCCAAACTTTGAACACACAATGAAAGCTTACAAATAGCTTAACAGAATGGAAAAGGTTATCATGCAATAAAAATAGTCTGTTTTGATTCAGTGTTCTATCATCTAACAGTATTCTTATTCCTGTAGCCATACAAAAAAGACTGAAAGCATGTCTATATTCTGAACACATTTTAAAACATTTGTGTGGAATTCGGTAACCTAGCCTCATAATTCATTTGTAGCATTTTTATCCAGTCACTTAAGTTCATGGACACCTTGCCAATTGTAAATTTTCCAATTGTACATTTTCTTTTTATCTTTAGATTCAAGTCCTATCAATTTTGCTGCCAATTAATTTCTAGCAACAACACTTCTGGCAAATCATATCTTGGTAAAATATAATTAACATTAAATGTTCTAAATTACAGTTCTGTTATGGGGCCAAAAGTTGGGTTCATGACTTAGAGTATTCCTAAGCAAGAAGAGGATTCAGAGGCACTAAAGAGTGAGAAGACAGGGACCCCATCCCATCCTCACTGGCAGCATAATGAAAAGCCCACAAAGAAGATGGTCTTGGCAGCATTCGATTTCTGAAGGACTGACATCTGACATCAACCCTTCAAGCTGCTGTTGATGTACTCTTTGCCTACATAAATCCTGTTTGTACACACACACACACAAATTCACAAAAGAAACAAAAGGATTTCATGTGTCTGGCTTATTTTTGTCACAAATATTCTATTTGGTTACAAGCTCAAGAAACATTCTCTTATCACCATGTTATCGAAGGCCTGACCAACTGTGTAGATAGGATGCCCATCCAGAGGGTCGAGATGTACTTTCTTCCTCACCTTTGTAGGGAAAAAAAAAATCTATTTAAACTCTTTAGTATCAAAGATATGCCCATATGAAATAAAAACCAAGCAACTGTAGTTTATATTCCACTCCAAGTCCATTAGCAAACAATGCTGTGGTGTCAAAATAAATATGACAATTTAAAAGGCCTAATCTAAAAATGTAGTTGTAGAAATTAAGAAGTCAAGTGCAGTCCAGAGGACCTGAGTTCAAGCTACTTACTAGCTGTGTGACCCTGGGCAAGTCACTTAAGCCTGATTATCTCCAAAAAAAAAAAAAAAAAAAATTGAGAACTGAGCCTTCTTTAAATATACATGGTAAATAGTACATGACTACAAGAACTATTATTCAGAAGAACAATTCTCTCGTATTATATATTTCTGTTTTCCCATAATCAACATATATTAACTTTGCCCTTGTGAAGATACAAAAAAAATGCATGAAGTGCTCAGTACATTTATGTCTAAAGTGAAAAGATTTTTTTTTTTTTGCTTTTTAGTGAGGCAATCGGGGTTAAGTGACTTGCTCAGGGTCACACAGCTAGTAAGTGTCAAGTGTCTGAGGCCAGACTTGAACTCAGTTCCTCTTACTTCAAGGCTCTATCCACTGTGTCACCTGGCTGCCCCAAAAAGAGATTTTTAAAAAACATTGTTATTTAAAGTTTTGAAATCCAAATCTTATTGCTCCCTCTCCTCCTCTCCCCATTCCCTCAGACAATAAGCAATCAGATACAGGCTATACATTTACAATTAAGTAAAACATTTTCATATTAGTCATTTCGTATAAGACGACCTGAATAAAATAAAAAAATGAAAAAAAAATAGCATGCTCAAGTGAATATCAGTTCTTTCTCTGGAGGTGGATAGCATACTTTATTCCGTTGGGATTGTCTTGGATCACTATATTGCTGAGAGTAGCTAAGTCATTCACAGTTCATTGAACAATATTGCTGCTGCTGTGTACAAAGTTCTCCTGGTTCTGTTCACTTCACTATGTCTCAGTTCATGGAAGTCCTTCTAGGTTTTTCTGAAATCATCTTGCTTGTCATTTCTTATAGCACAGTAATATTCCATTACAATCACATACCACAACTTATTTAGCCATTCCCCAATTGATGGGCATCTTTTTGATTTCCAGTTCTTAGCCACCACAAAAAGAACTGCAATAAATACTTTTGTACAAATAGGTCCTTTTCCCTTTTTTTGGATGTGTTTGTGATAGAGACCTAGCAGTGGTATTGCTAGGTCAAAGGGTATGCTGAGTTTTACAGCCCTTTGGCCATAGTTCCAAATTGCTCTGCAGAGATTTAAAAAAAAAATTCAAAACTGAAACACCTGCACTAATCTTTCTTCAAGAACAAAATTTTAGAAAGGATAATTCTATCCTTTAATTGAAAAACACAACTCTTTAGTTCTTCTGCACTGGGGAGTAACATTCATGCTTTAAGTAGTATAGTAAGTGCCCAAGAAACTGCTGAGGACTGTCTTCCTAATTTTTATGGGTATATGCTTAATTTTATAAAAAGTATAGGTTATTCAATTAAATTATATTTTTTGGTGGAATTTGGGATTAGGATCATCAACACAATTAGCTTTCAAGGAGCTGAAATATTAAATTTGGATTTTATTATGAACATATGGTGATTATATTGAAATATATAAAACTATTTTTGGTGTCCTAAAAACTAAGTTTGTCACTGAATAACACAAAATTTTTTTCATATCTACAACAGACTAAAAAATTTGAAAAGATAAATAACTTGAGTTTATACCTTGAAGAAATTTATGGAGATATATACAGAAATATGTGATATAAAGTATACGTGTGTATATTTGACATATGTCTACATACACACATGTATAATAAACAAATCACACTCTAAGTCTGACAATTAGGGAAAAATTTAATTTCACCAACCTTGAGCAATTGCAACAAGTTTTCCTTTCTCTTCAGGACTGAGCTGCAACATTGTGTCTATGACAGGAAGAAGCCTCTCTCTTTCACTCCCTGCTTTTAGAAATATAAACTGTAGCAGAACATTCTTCAAGTATTCTAGGTTAGCTACTGACTTCTCCCGCTCCTGGTTCCTTTCCAATCTTCTTACTTCACTTTTGAGAAGCTATAAAGAAAAACATTTGAAAACATGTATAAAGGCACCAATCTGGTCTTTTTTTCAGAGGTCTCAAATGGTCATTAGCGCAATTCCATAAATTTTAGCCACAACTGGCTCCACCATTTTGGGATTTGAGTTATGAAGAATAGAGGTGAAAATAGTTCCATACTTGCACAGTGCAAAAGTGTGCCTCATCCACAATTGCTCCTAAAGGTTTCAAGACTCACTGTGTGCAGGAGTACTGTTTTGTGCTGCTCCACCCCCCCCCCCCCCAACCCAACCTCTGGCAGTAAAGCCGCAATCTAAATGATTTCTTTTAGACTTAAACCTACTCAAGCCGTGTCATTCTGCTTAAAATCTTTCCATGCCTTTCTACTGGGTAAAGTTCAAACGCTCCCACCTGGCATTCAATGCTTTCCACAATTGGAGAGCATGCTCTCTTTCAGTTTTAACTGACCAGATATCTAACCAGGTTCACTACTCTCTGAAGTCACCGTGTTTCCTCTGTCCTTCCATCTCTTGGGTCATGATGTCACCTATGCCTAGAACCACCTCCCGTTTTTCTTCTTCTGTGTGAAAACTTTTACCCATGCTTTAAAACTTGACCCCAGTGCCATCTCATCCTTAAGCTTTCTCTGATCTGTGTGTGGATAAAAATACCCCACCTTGGATTTTACACAAGGGTACTTGGTTTTGGAGTTCTCTAATGAACATATCATATAATGTCATTATACCTATCCATGCTTTTGTCCCCCTTTTAGACTATAAGCATGATGGGGAAAGGGTTACATTTTATAGATTTCCTAAGGGTCTAGAAGAGTGTTCTGCACATTGCAGATGCCCAATCATTGCCTGATGAATGTTTCTTGAATTTCAAGTAGTTCATGCTTTATAGCTCTTTTATCCATAAAAACTACATACATACAGTATACATACAGTATAACTTTTTGTTGAAGATATGTTTAATGGGCATGTCATATAGAAAGAATGCTTACAAATATTGACACAGTTTCAATGGTGACTGGGTTTGGTTAGACTCACCTTAATTTGCTCCATGAGAATCGCATTGGTTGCTTCAGTCTCCCTAAGGAGGCCATTCAAGTGGTCGGCACTCTTTGTGGTGGAATTCAGCTTCTGAACCAATTCTTCTTTGCTGAGTTCTTCGTGCCACAAAGGAGGTTCTGAAATTTTATTTTCTGAAGATTATTTCCAAATGAAAAGACCCAGAGTCAGGAAACGGAGCATCTTATGTAAGGAACAGTAAGGAGGCCAGTGTCATTGGATCACAGATAGTGGGCAAGGGGGGAGGAAGGGAAGGTAAGAACATTGGAAAGGTAGATGAGGGTCAGGTTGTGAAGAGCTTTGAATGCCAAATGAGATTTTATATTTGATCTTGGGGGTGATAGGGGAACAGAGTTTAGGAAACAGAGGAGTGATATGGTCACATCTGCACCGAGCACTTGGTTAGCATCTGAAGTTTAGGGAAAAGACTCAAGCTGACTTAGTTGACAGCAAAAGACTAAAAGTTTTAGTAGCCATTCCAGACAAATCCCAGCCAATTAACATTTCTGAAGACCAGTTGTGCACAAAGTACCAAAGAGGGGTTACAAAATAAACACAGTGTCTTCAAGGAAATAAGAACATCAGACAACTGAAAGTGAAATAAATTTTCTAGTCCAATACTCTTACCATGGAAAAGGAAACTGAGGCCTAGAAAAGTGAAGCAACAGAGCCTCTCTGTGGCAGAACCTAGATCATGGGATTTAGAGCTAGACAGGTCCTTTGGGATCATCTTAAATATCAACGTCCTTATTTTGCAGATGAGTAAACTGAAGACCAGAGAGTTTCATTTTTCCAAGTTCAAAGAGCTAATGTGTTACAACGCCAGGATTTGATCCTCGATACTCTGACTCCAGTTTTCTTCCTATTATACTAAGTCTGGAATAGAACGCAGGTTCCCTTACTCAAAATCCTGGGGTAGGATCTCTAGGCTATCCGATATTCTCATAGGGTCTTCTAGGGCTACTCAGAAGGTTTCTCATACTATTTACCTAGCAGTTCCTCATTCAGGTCAAAGGAATTCTGGAAAAGGACAGGTTACATAAAAAGAAAGGATTGTTTTTAGAAAAGGGTACAGAGAAGAGGGGAAAATTCAGTTCCACCTCTGCTACAGAAATATGCCCAGGACCAATTTTAATGACCTTATGCAGTAAGGTCATCATGAAGGATGTGGATTGGATGCATTTCATTCTCTATGTAGTCCAAGCTCTAAGGAGTATGAAATGAGGAAAAGGATGGTGAAAAGTCAGAGGATAGAGGGTGGGTAAGGGCCTCCTAAGTACAGACAAGGGAGTAGGCTAGCCAATGGTCTTACACCATAATTTGAGAGCAAATTTATCAAATTAATTTTCTTGCCCTGGCTCCTTGGAGGATCTGAAAATTATCTCACCAGCAATCTAAAGTCTTATTTTAGGCAACAAGTTTTCCTTGACTCTTGGAGCAGTCCAAAATTGCCAAATGGTTTGACGGAATATTTCTATTTTTTTCTGGTTGTGCATTTCAATAAAAAGTGAAATGACTGGCTAAAGAAATGGGGAAGATTAGGGTAAAGGGGAATTAGGAGGAGGTAAAGAGTAAAGAAACCTAGAAAAAGCCCATGGGCTAGATGTACAAGTAAATTAACTAAACTAAGTTCACAGGAGGAAGGGACAACAGTTTGTACTTAAAATTCTTTTGTACTCCATAGCATTGTCCACTCAAGCCCATACTATCACATGAGTGATTTGTAATCTTACCAATTTGGGAGTTCCTTCTGATGACAAAGAAGCTCATCCTGTATGACTCTTGGTTATGTTCTCCCATATGTTCAACAGAGGGGGCTCATTCAACATGCTGGAGGCCTACTCTGCTGATGCTATAAGGGTACCAGGAAGGCACTCTGAATGTCTATCAACTTGTCATCACTTGCTTTGCTATGTGGCGGGCCATCTTTTCTTCCTATCATTTATCTCCTGGAGGACATCTGCTTTTTTTTTTTCTCCCCAGAAGTTCTTCCTTGCTTATATGCTGCAGGCTATTTCCATCCACTATATTATTTTCTTTTGCCTTGTGTATGAGATTTTTAATTCTAATAAATGTTTCTCTTGCCCCACTCTCTTTGATTTTTTTGGAGTCCATAAGTAACAATGGATTCAAAACACATTCTATGAGAGACTTGTACTCATGCTAAGTTCTTATTGATTAAAGAAAGATTAATTTCCAAAACAAAACTTTCCATTTGTCTTTGCTAAGTCACTTTACTTCTCTGGATATCATCTGTAAAATGTGGGTATATCTGAGGTCCCTTTAACTTTTTAAATGCTCACTTTAAATACAAGATTTTCTAATTGGGTTCACAAATCGAAGAACTGCTTTAGGAATTTCTAAATTTCTAAACTCCTCAATCCTATTCTTTTTTGTTCTTATTTCAAATATTCATGCATTAATTATGTACTAATTATGTACTTTCTCCTCTTTGCACCTTTAAACTAATGAATGTTCACAGTTTCATTATTAAAGAATCAAATGGTGGTTTAGGTCTACCATCCAATTATTCAAGGGGTCTTTAATTGAAAGATTACCCTGCACTGAAAAAAAAAATCAATGTAAGATAGGTTTCTGCCTTCAAGAAACTTAAGAGGCTTCCAGGTAATTATGGGTTGTATTAGTCTCTGATCTGTCATTTGGTAAACTTTCACCTTTACAACTATTTATCAAAACTGTCATTGATCTTCCGGTCATTTATCTGTCTTCCTGAGAACTGAAAGTATCATGTTATTTATAATCTACTAAGGGAGATTCAACAGGGCAACTGCATGGCCAGCAGCTATTGCCCACACCCTCCCAGTGGACCTTTTGACAAACCATCTTTGACTTCCTGCTTAATGAAAGCCCTGCGAAAACACCCCCAGTCTGTGTGATCCTGAGACCAGGAAGAAACCAAAACTGTACGCTCCTTTGGAAATATTTATGTAGTCTACTACAGAGCCAACATGGATTCAATTGTGAAGGCAAATATTTATTAAAATTTTTAAGGACAAAAGTTTACTGTTAAATAAAGGAAGTTAAGTCACTGATTCTGAATCCAGTAGGCAATTATGGAATCATATGAAAACAATAAAACTTTCAGTTTATAAACAGGGACAATGAAAAATTAATATTACTTTTTAATTTTTTTTGGACTAGAACTGTGATTTCAATGGTAGAGGGAATTCTAAGTGAGGAAAACTCCCTTAATCAATGCAGAGAAGACCCTGCCCAGGGCTCTAAGAGATTGTGACTTGACAGGGGTCACCCAGCCAGTGTCAGATAAGGGTTTATATGCAAATCTTAATAACCCCAAAGTCAGCTCTCTATCCAATAGGCCCTGCTGCCTTTTTAACACTTTTTTTAAAAAAAAATTGCCACTTTTTACTTTTTAATATTGCTACTGAATTCTGATGCATCCACCTGACTCAGATTTAGGAAAGAAGCTTATTTAAACAAAATCTCAAACCACACTCTAGGTAAGGCTTATCACTTGCAATTCAGGAAGGAGTACAATGGCATTCAAAAAAAATATCATCATGACTTAACAGGAGACCCTCATAATTTATAGTAGTAGTAATTCTACAGAATACCTAAATAAGGAAAATTATGTTTTAAAAAACGAACATACCAAGTTTAGTTTCAGGAGAATTAAGAAGCTGTTCCAGAGACGGTGTATGGATACTGGTAGAAGACACAGACTCAGTGTCAGCAGTTTCCATTCCCTCTCCCTCCTCCCTCGTTACAGCGTGCATTTCAAGGAGGGGCAGGTCTGTGTTTCTCCTATCACGAAGATTCTTCAGGGGTTGATGTGAAGAAGCTGAACCTAATTAGAAAAAATAAAACAAGAATGGTATGTCTTTGAATCCATAAATGGAAAAAAAAAAGATTAAAGATGAAAGCAATTCCAAATAAGCTGTACATGCCTAAGTCAAAGACCAACAATGAAAATGAACGGATAACTGGGACAAATTCAAAGGTGGGAAAATTATTTAACTTAAAGGGCCAAGTGGTACAAAGAAGGAATTCCTAGCTTACTTTTAAAAACCAGAAATGAATACATTTCCTAATAATATGGAATCTTTTATCATTTAATCCATTTCTACAGGGACTGAAAGTTACTGCTTTCTCAACAGCTGGATGAGGTAAAACGACCTTCACAAAATTCTTAGAATGGGCAGCTTCTAACACTCGCAAACTTTTTGGTAACTCAAGGTGGTTGGTAACTCAAGATATTACACCACTAAATACAAGCCGGGGTCTTAATTTCTCTACTCCTCTCTTCCTACCCCCAGGCAACACCTGTAAAAAGCAGTAGAGAAGAGGGTATGTGTGAAGGGATGGGAGAAGAACAAGGTGATAACTAAATTTCATATGATTGGTGTTGAAGGAAAATAAAACATTTTTAACAGTATGCTTTCTGCAGGGCAAACCGAGCCCCTAAGCGTGCTGCTTGCCTGCTTCCAAGATGCTGCAATAGTTTTTACTTGATTCAGAAGCTTTGTTAGAGTCCAGTCATCCCTTTTGGGCAGCAGGATCTAAATCTAACTAGTCATCTTGGTAGAGCTGAAGTCATATCAACCTTTTCTAGCCTATAGGGCTACGTTGAAACTAGTAGTAGCATTAAAAGCAAACCTGAAAACGTCTTTTAAAACTATCCTGAAGATGTCACTTCTATAATAGTTTAGGCTTTAACTTTCTATTAACCAAAGGAAAGTATCTGTGAAGCTAATGCTTTGGGAAATGAGGTGTTTTGTCTTTCTTCTGAACATAAAATATTTATATCAGTCTGTTTAATGAATAGCAATAAAGAATGCTGTATAGTCCCACAAAACACTAGGACGAAGCATCATTCTGTGGAGACTGATGGAGCAAGTTTAATGTCAAAGAAAAGGAAATATTACCTGACACAACACATAGTACATAAATGAGGATTTACTGCTCTAAAAGGTTATGATGGCTGAAAATATGAACTTAAAGATTTAGATATAGTAATGGATAATTTAGGATAAGTTAAAGATAATCATGGTATATTCTTAAAATTTCTGAGATTGATTTAATGAAGGGCAACCACTGCAAACATTTATGAATAGGAAGATTTCAGAGTGGCATTTCTTATGGTCAAATGGAAAGTGTTGTGAAAGTCTGAAAGTTTAAAAAAAATGACATCATCAGAAAGTTACTCCTTTCATGAATGCATACATACTTCTCGTAGTGGGGTCACTCTTAAGCTGGAAATACTGAGCTTCCACTTTGGAAAGCTGCTGCTGCAATGTCTCCATGGTCTTCCTGTGCTCTTCCTGCAAACGCCTCACCTGATCCCGGAAGTTACTGTGGAGGGTTTCATTCTGGGACGTTAGCTGACTCACAGTCTGTGCGTGCTCTGACTTCATCATCATGTTTTCTGACTGTACGGAACAGAGCCTGAAGGATGAATAAAATTTATTTTCTAAAACCGTTTAACTTTACTTCTTTAGGGACTAGGAGAGAGAACAAAAAATCTGTTCCTCTCTGGAAATTAGGTATATCCTCAGTGTGACAAAAGCCTTTCTACAATCTCAATTCTACATTTCTTTGAAATGTCATTGCCTCATGTTGCTGCTCCCAGTATGAAATGCTAGACACCTGCTTCTCTAAATCTTAAAATGTTTAAAAATATAGAAGATGTTTTAGTACCATTTTATTTCTTCTTTCTAGGGCATGGCTATATTACCAATCACTTTCCAATCTCACTTAAAAGAAAACTAAATTTCCAAACAAAGCATAACTCAAAAATACTGAGGGCAAGCTTTTTCATAGTTTTATAATCACATCAATAATTATGTAAGAGCATCAATGATATTTCCCCCCTCATTATTCATGTATTTTGCATTAACATTTCTAAAGGGAACTCTAAAGGTGACAATGCATAGAGCACTGAACTCAGAGTCGGGAAAACCTGAGTTCGAAACCTGTCTCAGATACTTTCAGCTGTATGACTTTAGGTGAATCACTTAACCTCTGTCTCAGTTCCCCATCTCTGAAATGGGGATGAAAATAGTACTTCCCTCACAGGGTTGTTGTGAAAATCAAATGAAATGACACATGTAAAGCTCTTTGATATATAACTTTCAAATTTATAAAAACGAAATACTAATGAGCTTCATTTATAGTGTCATGACAATTTCCAATACTAAATTATAATGGCAAAATTACCCCAAACTTGTTATAGTTCTTATTTCATATAATTTTCTTAGCTCTTTATTTGGACAGCTATGTGGTAAAGTAGGTAAAGCACTGGGCCTGGAGTCAGGAAGACTTATCTTTCCGAGTTCAAATCTGGCCTCAGACACTTAGTAGGTGTGTATCCCTGGGCAAGTCACTTAATCCTGTTGGCCTCAGTTTCCTCATCTATAAAACGAGCTGGAGAAGGAAATGGCAAACCACTCTGGCATCTTTGCCAAGAACACCCCAAATGGGGTTACGAAGAGTTGGACAAGACTGAAAATGACTGTATGACACATAAAGTCAAAACAACACATTAGTACTCCAAAAAATATACTTCTCTCGGAGTTCTGCCTCTTTTGTGACTGTCTCCTGCAGCATCTTATTGTGCCTTTCCAGTAGCGTATCGTGTTCAGACTGCAATACTTGAAGTTCAGATGCATTGGTCTGTAAATTATTCTGGGTGTCTTGCAATTTCATTTTCAGTTGGTCTATCATCATTTCTAGATGTTGTCTGGAGGGAAAAGGAAAGGAGAAAATCTGACTTTGAAAAATATATTTTAATTTCCATAATTCAACTCCTAATAGGTAAGCTGTTCAGTTCTATCATCAGGAGTCACAGAGAGATGTCACAATGGAGAAGTTATAACATTTTTAACATTTACTGACACTTCAATCTCCACATACTAGGCAATCTGAGACATAATAAATATCCCTGCACGTTAGAATGGAATGCAATAATTTAATAGCACCAAAGAACTTATTTGAAGCAACATGATTGTGTCATGAGCAAAATACGACATAGCTCTAAAGTTTTCGGAGGACAACCTGAGTTACTGTCCAACAGAAGAAAGAACGGTATGTTAAGATACAGTAAAAGTGAAAGAATAAGCAAAAACAGTTTCTGCTTTGTTGAATTCTACTTTCAGATAAGGCTAATGTATGAAAAAAAGAAACATAAATAAGAAAATGGGTCAGAAAGCAAGAAAAAAATTCAACACAACTATGGCTTATTATCTGACCTCAGAATTCAGAGATATTTAGGAATGAGACAAACAAAAAAACCCAAACCAAGCATTTTTAGAGCCAGGTGAAAACTCAATTAATTAAATTCTTAAAGTTATATTCCACAATTTTTACAAGTGACAGGTTAGTTGCCATCATTTATCAGCCTGCATTCTGTCAACAGATTTCAAAATAAGAAGCTTCAGATATACAAAAACATTCCAGGATATTTGATCTTTCTTAGAATAGTGAGATCCTGACGAGAAAATTCTTTTGAATGCTGAGTCTCTAGTTATAAAAACAAAAACATATGCATGAAAAGAACTTCTGAATCATCTTCTGCTCTAATTTTTTTTTATAATCCACAAAAAGTGATCTGGAAATATTTAAACCAAATATTATTTCAATATGGTCATTGAGATACACATAAAGAGTAATAGTTATATATGAAAACATTTCTTGACCAAAATTCAGTTTTCAGTTTTAAATGATTTCAAATATTTACAGAAACTAAACAATCATTTCTCAATCTGTATAAAAAATAATGTTTTTAAACATTCAAAATTTGAAAGTTTGAAAGATACCAGTCCCTGAGAAACTTCAATGTTAGTATTGTTAATAAAAACAGATGCAACAAGTTCAACATAAACTGCAGGCCTGCACAACTTGCACTTGCAGCAGGTCAAAGGATTTCCTCTACATTTATTGCAGGCTGCCTGGAATACTTTGATGCGCTGCAAGCAGCCCAAGCACAGCCTGCAGGCTGCAAGTTGTGCAGGCCTGACACAGCCATTTAACAAAGAATAGAGTATATCATATATTTACCAGAAAGACCTAAATGTTCACGCAGCCATCTTTTTTCTTTCTTCCCTGCCTGAAGTTTGATATAGTGACTTAACTGATCAAGTTTCTGCTATTGTCCTTGATAGGCAGTGAAACCAAAGCTACATTTTCTTACAGGTCTGGCCACGGGTTCCACTCTTCCCCCAAAGTTAGATTATGTGAAATTTGAGTATGGCCTAGACTTAGTGTTTACTTACATAAGATTTGTTAGTATTCCTTCAAAGAAATTTCATTTTAGGGATACAGCCTATATTTGGAGATATCCTAATACTTTATGTGTTTGATTTTTAAAAAGAAAAATAGTTATTATGAACTTAAAACACTAAAAAAAGGAACAAAAAGAGAATATACTCTACAAAGTATAACTCCTCATTTTGTATCCCTTTAAAACAAACACATACATATATTTAAAAAAAAATCTAGACATTAACTGCCAACACCCCTCCAATTAAAAACTGAGAGAAAAGACCCATACACGTAGTTAAGCTCCAAATGGTCATGAACTAGATATAAAAGGTCACATCATAAACAAATTAGCAGCAAGGAAGAAATAATCTTTCCGATGTATGAAAAGGGGAAGATTCATCACCAAAATAAGTGATAAAAAGGACTGCACAGGATAAAGTGAACAATTTTGGTTACATAAAATTTAAAACCTTTTGCACAAACATATCTAATGTAGTAAAAATTAGAGGAGAAACAAGTTAACTGAAAAAAAATTGCAACAAGGTCCTTTAATAAAGGTCTCATATTCAAGTTCTATGAAGAACTGGTTCAAATTTATAAGACAGCCATTCTCCAATAGATAATAGTCAAAGGATATAAGCAGGCAGTGTTCAGAGGAAGACATCCATGTTATTAGTGATCATTGTGAAAAAATACTCTAAATCATTAAAAATTAGAAAAATAAAAATTTGGATAACTTTGAGGTTCCACCCCATACCTATCAAAGATGATGATAAAATGAGGAACCTTATAAATGTTGGGGGTGCTGTGGGAAAACAGATAAATTAGTGCTCTGTTAGTGGAGCTAATAAATTGGTTCAGCCATTTTGGAAAGGAATTTGGAACTATGCCAAGAAAATTACCAAACTTTTGACCCAGTTACATCACAATTAGTAGGTCAGTGCCCCAAAGAAATAAAGAGGCAAAGTATCTCTACATACAAAAATATTTATAACAATTCTGTGCGTGGTAGCCACAAATTGGAAACAAAAGGGATCTCCTCTTACTAGGGAATGGCTCACCAAAAACAGTGTGCCAGAGGAAATGATGAAATGGACAATTTCAGAAAAAAAACTGGAAAGACCTTTATGAACACATGCAAAGTGAAGCGAACAGAACTTGGAAAAAAAAAATACACTGATAACCTTATAGAGAAAAACAAACTACGAAATATGAAAGACTTTAGAACTCTGATCAACACAATGATAAACCATGATTCTGAAGGAATGAATGTAGATCATTCCATTCACCTCGACACTGAGGTGATGAACTTAAAATGGAGAAAGAGAAGTGCATTTTTGGACATGGCTAATGTGGGAATTTGTTTTACCAGACTATGTAGACCTATGTTTAGAGGGATGTGTTGTTCTGGTTTTGTTTCTTTTTTAAAGTTTACTCAATGGGTGTAAAAGGGGAGGGGGGTAAGTAGGAGGGACAGATTAATTTTTAAAAACTTATAATTTGAAAATAAAAATAAAAACAATAAATGATTATTTTAAAAAGAAACTAGTTCACTGCGTGTGTGTGTGGGTGGCAACTGGGGAGAGGTGACTTGCCCAGAGTCACACAGCTAGTAAGTGTTATATGTCTGAAGCCAAATTTGAATTCAGGAGCTCCTGACTTCAGGGTCAGTGTTCTATCCTCTGTGCCACCTAGCTCCCCCAAGAAACTAGCTTCTTACTGGATTTTTGATCATTATTAAGTCCGGTGTGAACTTTAGGATTTTGCTGTAGTAGGTGTGTGTGAGTTGGGCACTCTGTTTCCCTTTCAGATAGCTATCTTGTAACACCACTCTCAAATACTCAAATATACCTGTGATCTCTTTGATTTCCTCCAAGGATGGAAACTGAAAACTATCCATGCCTATCTTGCTCTTATCTGTTTCTCCTAATAGGCAAGCCTGGGGGTGAGTGGGGGATGGAATCCATCCAACACACTGTAAGTTTTCTTGCTTTCTCCTGACACTGTGAACACACTAGTGGGCCACCATGGATGTCAATCTGTCAACTCTCGCTCTTGCTACTTCACCAGACTATCTTCTCTTTTTTTCTTGTCATACAATCCCCTGATGACATTCTTTACTTTTATTCTCCTTCAAAGTTTTTCACTGGTTCTATGCAGCAGCCTGCTCACACCCACCACACGCCTCTCTATTGCCCTCTGTGTGAAACTCATCTTTGGAGGTAGTGGTATTTCATGTCTCCTTGGCATACAGAAACATTAATAAAATATTATGGAGTCAGCAAAAATTCTTTGTAATTTCGGTAGACTCTGCAAAGTTTTGGGCTTTGAAGAAAATCATTACAATGTCATCTCTAACAAAGAACATCAATAAAACTTCATCATCCACAGGGAATCCCTCCTCAACCTGGACTTTGCTATGGATCTCTTCTATTGCAGTGGTGAATACCTCTGGTGAGCATACTGTTTTATACCTTGCCTGATGTTAATGATCAGAGGGTCACTGAAGAGGGTAATTTTTGTTTACATCATCCAACAACTTCTGAATGATCTCAATGTATGGACAGGAGGACATCTTATTGTAAGGATGCATTATGTCCTACCAATGACTCAATTTTTTTTCATTATCACAAAACAATGAACACAAAGGATTCTTATGTTTTCTATATTTTTCATTTAATTGTGAGCTGGTAAAAATGTGATTTTTTTTTAAAAAAAAAAAGTAAAAAAAAAAGTGATGAGGACCACTTGTGAACACCAGTTTGTTGCTTAGAAATACTCATTGAGGATGTATATATGTAAAACTTCAAAATGAAAATAAATGAATATATATTCAAAATGAAAATAAATGAATATACAAGAATCTTGTTCTTCTGAACATTTTAAAATAAAAATTTGAATATTTTAAATATTTAAAATTTTGAATATTTTAAAATAAAAGAATCCTTTTATTTTAGAATTTGACTTGCATACTTGGAAAGTAAGAGGAAATGGATTTTTTGTTAACTGTTCATTCATTTGGTCATACTTTCCTTATTTTGTTTGTCTTTGTTGATAGTAATTACTTTCATAGCAAAAATGAAAAAAAAAATTACCTTTCTTGTTTTGCTCCTTCTGTTTCACTCTGAGACAAAGATTTATTTTTTTGTTGTTTTAAAACATTATGAACTCGGACTTTGTAGCTTTCGAATTCAGAGGTAATGGTAGCTTGCTCTGCCTATAACATTTAAAATGAAAACAAAAGAAAAGAAACACATTTTAGTCTCAAATACAATATTTCAGCTCCTTTTGTATTGAAGGAATTTATGTACAGAGAGCAAAAACTTATATAAGGTAGGGGGTGTACGCAGGGAAAGAAATACTCATTCTCTGAATCAATTTTTAAGTTCTTTTGCAAGATTTATGTTGGGCTTTAGTTTTCTTCAGCTCATAAAAGACAAACGTCCTCTGAAAGAGGGGTTTGTATCTTATGATGCCCTTGACTCTGATGATCACTTCACCTCTTTGGGCTTCAGCTTCACCATCTACAAAATAAAGGGGTTGGGGAAGGTGATTTCTAAGGTTCCTTCCAGTGCCAACACTCTATGCTTCACATACTGGTAACTTAATTTAATATTTATAGGCTTAATACATTATTTTTTCAGTCTTCAGGATACATTCAAGTACATTGGACATGAAAAGAAAGGAAAAATTTCCTCAAGGATCTCACAATCTAATGAAGGAGACAACATGCAAAGGACTACATACAAATGAGATATAGAAATGTAAAATGGAGAAAATCTCAGAGAGAATGATGCACTAGTGTTAAAGACGACAGAGAAAGACTTCTTGCAGAAATTAGGAGATCAAGTATCTTGTGTAAGGGGGAGCATGGAGGCCAAAGTCACTGGACTGCAGAATACATGGAGGGGAATAAAGTGTAAGAAACTGAAAAGGTAGCAAAGGACCTAGTAATGAAGGAAGTTAAGAACCAAACAGAAGACTTTGTATTTGATCCTGGAAATAAGAGGTAACTATTGGAGTTTACTGTATGTTAGGGAGAGGTGATATAGTCAAATCTGTGCTTTAGGAAGATGACTCTGATAGCTGAGTGGAAGAATGGAATGGAAGGGTAGAGACTTGAGGAAAGGAATTAAGTCAGGAGGCTACTGCAACAGTGCCAGTTTAAGGTGATGAGGGCCTGCACCAGGGTGGCAGCAGTGTTAGAAGAGAGAAGACATGAAGGTAAATGAGAGATCTTATGAAGGTAGAATCGACAGGACCTGGCAATAGATATTAGTGGGGAATGAAGAGAGTGGATCCAAGGATCCAAGGAGAATCCTAGGTTGAAAGCCCAAGTGATTGGGAGGATGGTGGTACCTCTGACAGTAACAGGGAAATTAGGTAAAGGGGAGATTTTAAAGGAAAGATAATGAATTCAGTTTTGGATATGCTGAATTTAAGATGTCTCGGTGACATTCAGTTTGAGACGTTGGAATAGGCAGTTGAAGATGTGAGACTGGAGATCAGAAGAGAGGTTAGGGCTGGAAAAATAGGTCTGAGAATCATCTGCATAGAGATGATAAACTGAATACATGAGAGCTGATGACATTATCAAGTGAAATACTATAAAGGGAGAAAAGAAGAAGGCCCAGAACAGAGGCTTGGTAACAATATCCAATCAGTGGGTGTTATTTAGATGAGGGTGTTATTTAGATGAAGATCTAGCAAGAAATATGGAGGAGTAATCAGATAGATGGAAGAAGAATGAGGAGAAAGCAGGGACATGATAACCTGGGAGAATAAGAGTATCAAAGAAAAGAGGGTAATCAACAGTCAATGGTGCACATAGGTCAAAAATGAGAAAATGCCACCTGTCAATTTGTTAATTAAAAGATCACTAGTAACTTTGGAGAAAACAATTTCAGTTAAATGATGAGATCAGAAACAGACTGTGGTTAGAAAGTAAGAGGAAAGAAGTGTAGAGATGGACTGTAAATGGCCTTTAGTCACGAAAAGGAGGTGATATATAGGATAATAGCTACTGGGGATGGATAGATTAAGCGAGGCTTTTTTGAAGATGAGGGAGATATGACTGTGTTTGTTTGCATCAGGAAACCAGCCATTAGAGAGAGAATGAAGATAAGTGAGAGTGTGAATAATAGAGAGAGTGATTTGCTAAACAAAATGGAATGGATATAGAGGGGTTTGTCTTCGTAAGGAAAAGGACTATTTTTTTCATATGAGACAATAGTGAAGGAGAGTTAATCATCAAGTTACATCTTTGCAAGTTACTGAGTTACATCAAGGATACAATGAAGGATTCTCCTTTCATACATTTTTTGCTACAGAATGTTAACTGGTGTAACATTTAGAATAATAACTGTGATTATTAATAATAATAATAGAAAATAAGTTTTGAAGGACAAAAATTCATGTGTTTATAGGTTCCATTTAGGGTTATTCTAAAGTTTCTTTAGGCAACTTGGTTCCACACTAAAAGGTAAGGAAATTCATGTCAGTAATTATGAAACAATATACAACAAATATTGTGTAGTAAGTCAAATCTATTTTGTATAAAGTACCTTAGTTGTGTTGCATTCTTCTTGCAGAATTGTGATTTTTTGGTGGCAAGAACTCAGAGCACGCTGGTGTTGCTCTATAGAAGTCCTCAGATGTTCCTGGATTTTGTGTTTCTCTGATGTTATTTCAGCTAACTGAATCTGAAAAAAAATATTCTTGTTTCAAAATACTGGTGGTAAATAAATTTCTCATTGATTAAACTGATTCAATCACCAACACATTTGGAAAACTTTTTTTTAAAACAAGCTATAGTTACAAAAAAAGATACATCTTAAACTAGGTGACAACATTTAAATACTTCATTTAAAGAGTGAATAAAATGTATTTTTAAAATTAGCCATTCATTATTAATAAGGAACCTAGGTCAAGAAGAAATAAACTTCCCAGGAGAATAAGTACTAGTTATATAGAAAAAACTAGCTGCCTAGGCATGGATGTTACATTTTAATGCTTACCTCAAATGCTAAGAAACTGTCAGTTTGCTGTTTAAAACTTACGATTCTAAATTAAATTTTAGTCTATGGGGGCTCAGTCTCCAAGACTCCAGCAGCAAGCTGGAGGACTGGGTTCTATGGCGCCCTCTTGTGGTTTGTTACTGCTACCACCTCCCTCTTCTCTGAGCTGTAGTTCCTTCACATTCAAGTCTTAACTGTAATAAAGAATTTGATTTTCCTTTTCACTCCTGCTCTGCTACTGAAAACTATATACATCCCTTGCTTTAGGCATTTTAAAGGATTTTGTTACTAAGCACTAAAATAATGAATAAATGTTAAAGCTACACAGTTGCAGGTTTCCTAAATGCTAATCTTAGTCCTATCTATAAGCTCTGAAGGGATTAAAGCCTTGTTCATTCTTAGTTGCTCCCTCTCGCCTAGCAGAATTTTTTTTTGGAATAAGCTGACCCAATCCTGTTTATTGTTGATATATCAATATTTCTAAGCTGACACAGATCAGACTTGGCAATAATGACACATGTCACAGCTTTTTAAGAATCTTCTCCATATAGTGTCAGGTGTAGGAATTCCATGCCTATGGCAGAGATGCTCCCCTTCTATGCTCCCTTCTCCTTGAAAAGAGAACCCTTTTTTCTTGGGTTTCAGCCTTGTAAGGAACTAATGACTGTCTCCTCTCATCTTAGATCGTTTTGGCTACAGACCAACTTAAAGCCTGCCTATCCTTGGGCTCCCCAGACAATAAAAACCCCTTCAAGGTTTTATCTTAAAATTTGACCTTACTGCGATCTTTGGCAGTTCCCAACTATACCCTTGAGGAGATTTCAAAAGTCCTGACTAGACATGTACTCTAGCCTCTGACCCATCTTTCTCTCCTGGCTGATCTGTCTTACATAAACTTGCTAGCTACTTTTAATAGCTGTTTCTACTCTTATTGGTGAAATTTGTTTCTTCACCCATATTGCTCTAGATATGGATCTAGGAAACCTCTTCTCTGGAGATCAGTCATTGGGTCTAGGACCATGCAATTTAAGCCATCATCCATGTTACTCTCTATGGTTTCAAAACCTAATATTTTGTAAGGCTTCACAACGGGGGGTGGAGTTAGGGGAGAAGTTTGGTACATACAACTAATGAGAAAAAGATTCCCTCCATCAACAAAAGTCAGGTCGTATTATCATATAACCACAGAAAAAATATTAGTTTGGAAACATGTTTATTTAGTTTTATATAGGATATCATTGTAGCTTTTTAAATGTTTTCTTCAATGGAGATATCTCAATTCTCTGTAAGGTATATATCTACAACCTAACTGTATGCTAAGCAATTATTCACTAATACTATTTCAAGATATTTAAAAGAGTTTACAGATTGAAGACTCTTGCTTAATGAAATATGGCTATTTAGGAACATGCATAAGTCACCCTACTTTCCAATGAAAAAATTTATTATTTAAATGAACCTTACCTTATAGACTTCAACTTGCTGCTGGCTTGCTTCTAGTTCACCTTTTAAAGATGACTGCAGTATTAGTTGGTTGGTTTCCTAAAGAATAAATATTTTGGTTAATTAGCAAAGAGTTAACAAATGGGTTACGAAGACTATTAATATATAAAGTCAAGAAATTAACATACTGCTTGTTTTGAATCTGCTAGTTCTTTTTTGGTTTTTACTAGTAGTTGCTTTATTCTGGTGTTTTTATCCTCAGCTTGTTGCACTGAAGACTGAAGTGAAGCTGGTGTAAGAAAAACAAGTTTCAGAAATCAAAAATACAGAGCATTTTGTGTTACTTTAAGTTAAACAAATTTAGTTTAAAATTAAAGGGATAATTCACTACAAAATCAATTTTTCAAAGACAAATTTTTTTTTTATATTCCAAAATGCTAATAAGAACCATAGAAATTAAACTGTGACTAATGAGTTAAGCAGAGGTTACAACACTTAATTGATGTCTTTTTTTTGTAGCTTTTACATTTTATTGCTGTAATACTCTGTGAAAATATCTTTTGATATAATTAACTTTATGAAGACATGTTTACATGGTTAGAACAATATGTGAAAGGTATACAATGGCACTATATCTAATAAACATGAATTTATAAGTGTATATTCATTCCTCTGCTACATTCAGATTCTAGGTTATGTGTATGTAACTTAAGCTTTACTGTTACTGTTTCTAATCTTGCATCTTTCATCTCCTTTCTTTTCCAACTTCTACCACTTTAAGTATAGGACTTCATCATCTCACTTCTGATTTAGTGTAATCTAAATTTCTTTTCTGTCCTCACTACCTCTCTTTGCTTACTATCTGCCATCAGATAAATATTCCTAAAAGTAATTTTATTTCTGGACTAGATGATTTCTAAGGTCTCATTTCTCTCCAACTCTAGTACTAATTATGCCATTTTTTTTTGTGCTCAAAAGCTTCAAAGACTTGAAAAATCCCAATTACCTATGAAATGAAAACCAAATTCCTCATGCTGGCATTCAAGGCCCTCGACAGTCTGTCCTAACTAAACACACTTTTCCACTCTTTATTTCCCATATTTTTCTCATCTCATTTCCTGCTACTACTTCTTAGCAGGAACTCTATATATAGATTCCAGCCAAATCAGTCTTCTTCACAACGTCTTTCAAACACACTGTGTTCACTTCTTCCTCCAAATTTTTACTTACACCATACTCTTTTTACTTTCAAGATCCACCTTCTGTGCATGAAGGTCTCAAAGACCCTACTACATTCTGATCTCTCCAATTCTTTGGGCTCCTACATCACATATTTTCAGTATTCCTCAGTTTAGCTTTGATCACATTCTACTCTGCACTGCAACTGACTTTTTCACTAATGCCAGTCTCATGTCTCGAGCTGTACTGTAAGTTCCTTAAATTCACATGTATCATTTTTTGCATCTTTCATGGTATGTGTTATGCACATAGTAGGCAAACATTGATATATGAATACTCTTAATCTCCCATCCTTTAAACAAGCTGAAATTCTGAAAACTGAATGAATCAATTACTAATATCATAGAATTGCAGAGTTAAAAAGGAACTGAAGTAATTTATTTCAACTATTACCTTAAGAATGAATCTAATTTATAAAATCCTGATAGGCAGTCATCTAACCTCCACCTGATTCTAATGATGGGGGATCCCAAGGCAGCCCAATGCATTCTGGGGCAGGTCTAAGTATTAGGAAGCTTTGCCTTACAAAAGATAAAACTGATTTTATTTCTACCCACTGGCTACCAAGGACAAAACCTGGATCAACAGTTTAATACTTCTCCCACTTGACAGCCTTCAAGTATTTGAAGATAGCAGCCAAGTTCTCCTCAGGTCTTCTCCAGGTTTAACATGTCTTTCCAACTTCACCTGTTCCCTTCACCCAATTCCTGCATAATATTCTTTCAAATTATAAGAGAAAAGTGAGTTTACATTTTACTCACTCATTTCCTCCTGTAGGGTTTCTTGTTTTTGTTTATAAATTTTAATTTCTTGTTCTAAATCTTCAATTCTGCTGTTTTTATCAGTAATTTTCTGATTCAGTTCTTTCACTAAACGTTCATAATCAGCTATTTCCATGTCCATCAATGTAGTTTGCTGAGCATCCTGCATATTTTGTATACAAAAGATCCACACAAAATTCCAAATCAGTTCAAAATTGTTTTAATTATTAAAAAAAATTATCCATAGAGAATATAAAACCCCCTTAATAAAAGAGGAATTATTTTATATATTGATGTCTAAATCAAAGGCTAATTCTTATTCATCTAGTTTTAATTTACAATGCTTTTCTTAGATTTATTCTAGTTTTATATTACCTCTTTTGTTCTTTTACATGCACAAAATAATTCTCCCCTAAATATTTTTATTATTATTAAATTCTGTGACTCTTATTGGTTTTTCCATTGTCATTCACATTTTTTCATAGGTAAGTTAAATGTTTACATTCTGAAAACTGGTAAGTAATAAAAGTTTTTTTTTCACTATAACTGTTCACAAAAGAAAAAAAATTAATAAGATTTCTATGCATTCTAACAAATGTGTAAAGTTAAATAAGATCTCAAAATAGGCAAAATAGGGCTTCTAAAATGTTTCTTCTCAAACTATCGGAAGCAATTTGGTACTATGAGTATCTGGCTTACAAAATTTAACTAAATGGGCTTATTTACCTTCCTAACCATCTCTAACTCTTGCATGGTTTTCTGAAGATGTTTCTTCTCCTTCTGAAGTTGTACCTGAAGCTCTTCAAGTTCCTTTAAAGTATTAGTATGCTCCTAAAAATTACAACAAAATTATTAAAAAAGCATTTGCAACAAGGTTACCCAAATGAAGTTACCTCATGGTAGATAGGACCTGTGATTTCAGTGGTATAAAGGACTCCCAGATGAGGAAACTCCCTCTACCAACACAAGCTGGCACTTTTTCTGTAACTTACAGCCTTGGAGAGTTACTTAGGACACTAAGAGCTTAAGTGACTTGGACAAGAGCCACACAGCCAGTATGTCCTGGTTCCAAGGCTAGCTCTCTCTCCACTATACCACATGCTGCCTCTTTACCTTGTGACACTTGATACAAATCTTCTGATTTATATTTAAACTAATCTGGATTTGGTGAATATTATAGCCAGCTCCTTAATTTCTTATCTTCAATTATATAAAATCATATCCCTTATATGAAAATCAACAATTGGCAAATACTCAAGATTTAATGAGTGTCATTTTATATCTGCTGACCATTTTCTCAGAGAGCTTTTCTTTCACTTAAATAATACCATGAATAAACATTTAGCTCACAACACAGAATCAGAGAATCTTAAAACTAGAAGAGAACAAGCTCAGAAGTCATCTAGTTTAAAGCTTAATCTACACCTTATTCTCTTCAACAATATTACTGACAAATGGTCATTTGCCTCCATTTGAATGACTAATAATAGGGACCATAATATTTTAGGAAGCCCATTCCATTTTTGAATATCTCTAATCATTACCAAGTTCCTCCTTACAGTAAGCTGAAATCCGCAGCCCATTAACTTCTATATAGTTCTCTCATTCTGGAGCTTTAAAGAATGTAGACTGTCTCTTGGGGACATGACAGATCTTCAAATATTTAAAGAGACAACTATCAGGTCTAATCTCCCTTCTCCTGGACTCTATAATTTTATAGATCATATGAGATTTTATGGCTGACATTTTTACTACTGACTCAAATCTGTCTTGCAATTCACACTTTGTTTTTTGGTTTTTTTTGTTCATGAACTGTTATATTTCCAAATTTCCCCCAATCTTGTACTAGTGAAGCTAAGTTTTTGAACCTGAGTGGACTTTACATTTATTACTAATACTTCTTATTATTTGGTATAGTCAATTGTTCCAACTTGTCAAGACATTTGTTGGATTCCAGTTTTGTCATGTAAAAGGGCTTTTCTTCCACATTTCTGTGTCACTGTAACATTTTTTTGAAGATATATGCCAATTAAGGCCATCATTTAAAATCACTGCTAAAAAAAATGAACAAAAAGGGTCCAGGACAGGACCCTGTAGCATGCCACTACAGATTTCCAGGATAATATATGGTGATCCAAAATCACTATTACATGGGTAAGGTTGTTCAACCAATTATTAATCCAGTTAATAGTACGTCCCATATTTCTTCAACTTGTCCACAAGGATACAGTACATTACTTTATCTTTCTAGGCTTATTATACATTATTCTTCTTCATGAACAATAAGGCTAATCAACTAGCCTTATTGCTATTCCATTTCCCATCTCTGTGTTTTTGCACAGGCTGTCCCCTAGGTCTGGAATTCAATAATTCCCAGTTTCCTTCAAAGCTCAGATTAAGCATCACCTTCTACATGTGGACTTTCTTGAATCTACCCAGCTGCCAAAGCCTTCCATGGTCCCAAGATAACTTAGATCTATTCTCACATATACTTATATATATATATTTATCTTCCTCAATAAAAAATAAGCTCTTTGAGAGCTTATATTATATAAGTTCTCTGAGAGTAAGATGCATTTAATTATTGTCTTTGTATACTCAGTACTTGGCATATAGTAGGCATTTAATAAATGCTTGTTGATTAATTGCGCATCATAATTGTTAAGTGTTTGTTGAATTGAAAGGGATATAATAAGTCAAATATCTTACTGAAATACAAGGATACAGTGTCTACAGAATTCCCTTAATCTACCAATTAAGTAATGTAAAATGAGAATAACAAAATATAAATGCATAAATGGGACTTTACATCACAGTTACCTTTATCTTTTGCTCTTTGTGAAGTTTTTCAGTTTCTAATTCTTTGTCCACTATGACCTTGGCTCTCTGAACTTCCAAAATCTGGGCTTCTAACAACTTGGCATTAGACTGTAGAGTTTCAATACGAGCTAGGAGATCTTCATTATCAGAGCTCAGCCTGTCACACTAAAATGACAAATTATTTAGTACTGTGAATCAAGAAATCAGTATTTCTTTACAATGTGAAACTGCTTAAGAAAAGACAAAGTGGCCCAAGTTGGACATGGAGCAGGTCAAACCTTCTTTGCTGAAGAGCAGCAGGAACAGGTTCATGAATGACTGCTACACTTCAAGCTTGGGCAAGCTAGGGAGATGTAGTCCCCACCTCCACCCCCCTCCACCCAAAAAGTGACACCGAAAATAGGAGGAGGGAAATGATTAGATGTCAAATGATTAGAGGCTTGAAAAGTGAAACCACTACACTTGCTTTAAGGTCAAAATTTCATAATCAATTCTAAAGTATAAAATATAATAAAGTATAATTATAAAAATATCACTGCTAATATTGATATACTCTTTTTTTTTTACCTTATATCAGGAAGAGAGGGCAAAGGCTGCTACAAATCCTATAAGTGACCAAATATGCTAGAAGAGTTAGCATGGTACAGGGAAAAGAGAACTGGATCTGGAGTTAGAGGAACTAGGATCAAATCTGACCTTTGTCACTACCTGCCTGACTTTGGGAAAGTAAGTCACTTAACCTCTCTGGGCCTCAAGTTTCCTCATCTGCAAAATGAAGGGGAGGATTAGATGATTTTTTACATTTCCTTCCAGGCTTAATCTATGATCCTATGAAAATACAAAAAATGACAAAAAGAAAAAAGAAGGAAATAAGCATTACTTAGCACCTAATATGTGCTAGGCATTGTGCTAAGTGCTTTATAAATATTACTTCATTTGATCCTCACAGCAACCCTGAGAGGGAGGGAGGTGCCATATTATCCCCATTTTCCAGCAGAGGAAACTGAAGCAGGCAGAGGGTAAGTGACTTGCCCAGGGTCACACAGCTATTAAATGTTTCAGATCACATCCAAACTCAGGTCTTTCTGAATCCAGGCTCAGTGCTCTATCCACTGTGCCAATTTGGTGCCTCCTAAAAGGAAGAAAGAAGGGAATGAAGAAATTTAGAGTAAGAATAATGGTTCCTATAGAATTATTTTAGCTCTGTCTCCTGGCAATAAAAAAAAATCTCATTTTTAATTGAACCCTAGTCCTGCAATCTACTGTCTTGTTCATGCTGCTTCCTTCTGAGTCTGTTTCTTCATCTGTAATATGTACTTATCCTACTTCACAGGGTTGTCATGAGGAAAACAGAGGTAAAAGTACTCTGTAAACTGTAGTAAAGGATTAAATGATTAATTTAGAAAAATGACTCATTTATATAGTGCTTTAAAGTTTATAAAGAACTTTTTTCACAACAATCCCTTAGAGTTGAGTAGTGTAGTATCATTTCCCTCTCCTCTTTTTTAAACAGAGAAACAGACCCTGAAGTTTTGGCAAATTAAATGACTTGTCTAGAATCACACACAGCTGCCTTGAGCCCAGGTGGCTGTATTCCGAACCCTAGGTTCTTTCCATGCCACCAATATTCTGATGCACCTGTGATTTCAGGCATCTTTTCAACAGTGAACCCACTTTTGCTTTTTCATCCTACATGACTCCTATTCCTACCATAAATCATCCAAGAGGATGCCCACCCAACATTCTGGAAACTTCTGATCTCATCCCGGTGGAGCCAAAGGGGCTGCCCAATAGCTTGATTCTGGTATGTGACCAGCCCTCTTCCATTTCCAGTCATACATCTCTTTGATGACATTCCTTAGGCAGTTTCTCTTGTGTATCTGTTAGCTAAGTGTTGTCACCTACTTATGCCCACCATGCACTTATATGCCCTCTTGGTAATCAAAACCTTTAATTCTTCAGAGACTACATTATTCTGACTTGTAGCCACATAACATCACTGGAAAAAATATCGATGAAAAAAATCTGGGCCTTTGTTTTGAGATTACTTAAAGCACGTTATAATTTTCCAAACAAATTCAGCCTAGTCTTCCTCCTGTTCAATTCTGGGACCAAGTCATGGAATAGCTGACGTGTCTTTCTTAGCCACTTGTAGTGGTGGACCCGGTTGGGTTGTCTACTCAACAGGACAATAGTCTGAAAAGTAGGTACTCTTTATCTACCTAACTAAGGGTGAACTCTTGAGTATGTATCTTCTAGGAGACATTTGGACTTGATACAATCAACACAATATTATTTACAAACACTGTCAAGTGGAAGACCTCTTTTAGTGTCTGTGCTGGATAGGAAAATCTTACAAGAATATTGGCAAACACCTTTGGTAAGCCGAAGTCTTCCTCTTTTATGCCTCGTTTGATATAAATAATCAGAGGATCAAATAAAATTTTCTATTATTCATTTCAAGGAATCTTGTGTGATTTTGACACATGCACAGAAGAGATTTTGTTGAGAGTTTCTACGGAGGAAGTGTGTTCTAATTCAAGGCTTTTTATAGTCAACAAATAAGCACAGTGGGACCTTGTATTTTCTATGCCTTTTATCTAAGTTAAGTTTTTTGAAATGTAAAAATGCAGAATATTATTTGTGAAAGCTCACCTGTTTTCTTGTCACAGTTAAATCAAAGATACCTTTGATGTATGTGTAAAATCTTAATTTTCGTAGTAGAGATGGAAAAATGGCATTTAGGTTAATAGTTGATATTTTTTCTGGGTCACCTTCTTCAGGGCTCTAATTTTTTTCCCAAGTACTTGGTATATCTCCTCTCTTTGAGACTGAGAATTAATCTCTCAACAATTGTGTTTCCTCCAACATGGACCTCCTCTTCATGTCTGGTTTACTATAGCTGCTATTCTCATCTTTAGTGCCATTTGTACTTCATTATGTAGAACATAGAGGGCTGTGTTATCAGAATCTAAATGTGGCAGCTGCACTGTCATTGATAAGACTGTTACAAATATCTTTATAATCTTTTCTGTTGTCATCTTTCCAGAAATGCTTTTGGGATGACCCAACTCATTTGGTTATTTTGCCAAGAATCTTTTATTATTTTCTTCTACTAAATTTTACAAATAAGTTTATATTCTTCCTAACCATTGTTGCCCTTGGGCTGGCATCTCTCCTTGCTTGGAAAAAAGACAAAATGTTTACAATGACTGAGGTGGTTTCTGTGGTCTTTGGTTTTCCCCCTTGTGGCTACTGAATTACACTGTTAAACTTAGGAAACTATCATGGCTGTTTCAATGTCTATTCTTTAATCCATTTCCCATTTTTCAGCATCAACAGTTTTAAAAATAGGTCAAAATAGAGTTGCCTTAATTGTATTTCCTATCTTCTTATCTTTACTCTTTATTCTAATTTAGTAATGATGAAGTCACAGTTATATGTCCAAGTTTTACTTTTCAACTAGATTATAAACTCCTTAAAGGCATGGATTCTGTCTTATACTTCTTTGTATTCCACCTACCACCCTCATTTTCTTATTAGCACAGTGCCTGCACACAGCAGGAAATTAAAAAAAAGATTATTAACTAAAAATTTTATATTCTACTAGCATTTAATCTAATCTATATCTGATGAAAGAAGTTTTCTTGAAGAAAGAACTGAATACATTCTGCAGGATTAAGTACTGATAACTCAGAGCATTCAACACAGTGAAGGGACAAATAACTTGTATCTGTAATAGTATATATACTGAATGAAATTCAACATGACTGGTGGCCAACCTAGTGGACAATAATTAATAGGTTTTACAAAAGAAATCTTATTCAATGAACTATAATAATGTTTATTCAATTCCCTAAAGTGAACTTATCGCTCACCTATGCAGCTATTCACATTTGGGAGGCTTTGTTTAAAAATATTTACCAACTGTTGCTATGTTTCATACTCATTCCCCTCAATTAGAAAAAAAAATTACTAAAAAGAAATGATCTAATCCTTAATCTGTAACAAACAGAACAAACATAAACTAAAGACGCACAAAATCCATGATTATACATTCATTTCTTTTGGTTACTTGTCAATCAAAATGAAAGCATAGTGCTTTTCCTTATACAGCTGATTTCTGTTGGATGAAAAGGAAAAACAGATGCTCAATTTTACACCATGAATAACTGTTTCCAAGTATGGTATATTAAAAAACAACAACAACAACAACAAACAGACAATGGCAAAGAAATCTATCTTGTAAATAAGAGTTGCTGACATTCGAATAATTTAATAATTTTTTACAAGTTATACATTAATAGTTTTGTTAACATGTTTTCTTTATTAAAATCAATGAGCATGTGTTAGTTTACCCGCAAGCAATCAATTTTCAATTACCTGAGAACCTGAATTCTTTAATTGTCTTATAAGATCTTCTATCTGATGCTCAAAATTATTCGCACGCTCCTTTTCCATGTCTAATTGTTCTGCTTGTTTATCATATTCTAAAAAAAGATTCTTTAAGAAGAGACAAAACAATACCATAAGTAAAGCACATAAGAATATCACATGCTGAACCCTTAGGGCAATATTACTGTATTTAATATTTATAAATAACTACTGGATGTTAATTTTTTTTATCAGGGATAAATTGGAATACTTAATTTGCATGAAAACTAGGCAACGAAAAACACCTTTGCTACAATTAAATAATTTTTGCCATTAATATGGAAGATAGCTAAAATAATTAAAGGAAAAGAAATTTTTTAGTTTTAAAAATTTTCTACAAAGTGATGAAAAGAATTGTTATATATTTCACTCCAAACTGCTACTTTAAGCATAAGAGACTAAAGTTATCACTACTACAAATCCTACTTGGACTTACAATATAAATTTCCACACTAATTTCAAGTTAGTGATTGGCAACCTAGAGCCTATAAATATAAATATTCATTTAATAAGTCAAAACTAGCTCTTAGTTGGACCCTAGTGGTCCATAGGAACAATTATTTTTTCAGGCTACGATCATGTTCTTGATCCTGTGCCTTAACTTTTGGTTCGGTCACGCCCTAAAAGTCAGGGGACATGATAGCCACCATTATTACATACACATTTTTTAAAAGGAAGAATATAAACTATTTATTGACCATTGTTTACCAGTATTTAACATAAAATATAGTTGCATAACATTCCAATGACTATGAAGTTACTGGTTTTGTCTCTTTTGGAGGCAACTGACATGAATATGTATTTCACTGCAGAACCGTCGAAGATTTTGTGTCAAAAAGCGGGTATGACCATTATGTGAAGTTTAAACAACAGTAACAACAACAACAACAACACATTGTGCTGGTATTACTTATTTTTCAGTTTTTGCCAGTCTCTCACCAACTTTTTACTCACTGAAAACTGTCTTTCTGCAGCTGTTTCCATGCTGCTCAGTGAACACAACAACTTTCAACTTGAAGCCCACAGAATAGTTTTTATATTTATCCATAATCAGAAAGAAATGCTTTGCATGTTAATGTATGGCTGGCAGATGAACTGTACAGTCTGGCTAGCGCAAGAGGATGCAAGTCTTACCATATCATGTGACTCACTCACATCAGCTTCACTTGTCTGTCTGCTCCCCTTGTGTCTATGGCTCTTCATTGGGTTGAGTGACAATACTGTTAGAACTATAGCACTCCAAACTAATCGTGCAAATCGGTTTTCAGAAATATACTGACAATGCACGTGCACTGGTGGCTCAATGTGTGAGAGATAAACGCATATCTATATGCCAATGGTGAATACACTGCTGTTCTATTTACCTTTTAAATGACGTGACGAACAGAATTATACCATGTGATGATTATACAATGAAAGGTTATAAACAAATTTTTGGACTGAAGGGGAAAAAAAAAACAAAACACCAGGATGGTATGATTATGCGGTGGCGACGACTATGTGGTGAAATACAGTACTCAAAAGGTTGGTCCCACATGTTGAAGGTATGGGTTGGGATAAAGAAATCCTCTCAATTTTCAAATCTTTGCCACCGCAAAAAGAGCTGCTATAAATATTTTTGTACATATGAATCCTTTTTCTTTTTCTCTGAGATACACATAGTAGTGGTATTACTGGGTCAAAGGTTTTAATACAGTTTTATAGCCCTTTTGGTATAGTTCCAAACTGTTCTTCAGAATGGTTTGACCAGTTCACAGTTCCACCAATAATGCTTTAGTGTAGCTATTTTTTCCATATCCCCTCCTGCATTTCTCATTAACCATTTTCACCCTGTTAGTTAATCTTATGGATGTGGGGATACCTCAGAGTTGTTTTAATGTGAATTTCTCTAACTATTAGTGATTTGCAACATTTTTTCATGTAACTATAGATAGCTTTGATTTCTCATTCTGACAACTTCTTGTTCATATCCTTTGACCACTTATCAATTGGGGAATGGCTCATATTTTTATAAATCTGGCTCAGTTTCCTATATATCTGAAAAATGAGACCTTTATCAGAGAAACTTGCTGTAAATTTTTTCCTCAGTTTCCTGTAGTCTTTTTAATTGGTTGCATTGGTTTTGTTTGTGCAACTCCCTTTTAATTTCAAGTAATCAAAATTATCCATTATACTTCCTTGATCATCTCTATCTCTGGTTTGATCATAAAATTTTTCTTATCTATAGATTCAAAAGGTAATTTTTTCTATGCTCCTCTAATTTGTTTATATCACATCACCCTTTATGTCTAAATCATGTATGCATTTTAACCATATCATGGTATATGGTGTGAAAGTTTGCTCTATCTTAGTTTCTGCCAGACTGCTTTCCAATTTTCCCAACAGAATTTGTTAAACAGCAAGTTCTTGCCCCAATAGCTTGGCTCTTTGGGTTTATCAAATACGAGCCCACTGTGGTCATTTATTTCTGTATATTGTGTACCTAATCTATTCCACTGACCAATTGGCCTGTACCAGCTTGTTTTGATTACCCCTCTGTAGTATAGAGTCTGAGATCTGATACTGCTAGGCTGCTTTCCTTCACTTATTTTTTTTCACTAATTCCCTTGCCATTCTTGACCTTTTTTCCTCCAGATGATTTAGCTCTATAAAATAATTCTTTGATTAACTGTTTTGGCACTCAATAAGTAAATTAATTTAGGCAGTATTGTCATTTTTAATATATTGGCTCGGCCTACTCATAAGTAATTAATATTTCTCCAATTATTTAGATCTGTCTAAATAAGTATCCTGTAATTGTGTTCATATAGTTCCTGGCTGTGTCTTGGCAGGTAAATTCCCAAGTATTTTATGCTGTTTGCAGTTTTAAATGGAATTTCTCTAATACTTCCTGACAGGTTTTGTTGGTAATATGGAGAAATGCAGATAATTTATGTGGGTTTATTCTAAATCTTAGAATTTTGCTAAAGCTGTTAATTGTTTCAACTAGTTTTTTAGTTGATTCTCTAAGTATACCACCATATCATCTGCAAAAAGTGATTTTTCTCCTTATTCTCTATTCTTCATCTCTTAAATTTCTTTATCTTGTCTTACTGCTATAGCTAGCATTTCTAGTACAATATTAAACAATAATGGTGATGATAGATATCCTTGCTGCACCCCTAATTGTACTGGGAAGGCTTCTAGTTTATCCCCATTACAGATAATGCTTGGTCTTAGTTTAGACGTATATTAGTTATCATTTTAATATAAGCTCCACTGATTCCTATGCTTTGTAGTGTTTTTAACAGGGATGTTGTTTTAGAAGGAATTTGATATTTTTAAAAACCGTTTATATAGTAATTAAATTTATTTAAATATTTAATATTTAATTAATAATTAAAATTTAATAATAAATAAATAATTTAATGTTTAAATAAATGTCTTTAAATATTTGGTAGAATTCGCTTATAAATCCATCTGGTCTGTTTTTTTCCCCCCTTAGGGAGCTCATTTATAACTTATTCAGTTTCCTTTTATAAGATGGGCTATTCAAGTATTCTTTTTCCTCTTTTATTAATCTGGGCAATTTTAATTTTGTAAACATTTATCCATTTCATTTAGATCATTAATTTTATTGACATGTAATTGGGCAGAATAGTTCCTAATAATTTCTTTAATTTCATTTTCATTGGTTATGCATTTATCCTTTTAATTTTTGAACTTGTATTTTGCTTTTCTTCTTTCTTTTTAAAAGTCCAATCAACCAATGGTTTATCTACTTTATTTTGCTAGTTCTAAAACTAGCTTGTAGTTTTATTAGTTCAATGGTTTTTTTAACTTTAAGTTCTAATAATCTCTCCTTTGATTTTCAGGATTTCTATTTTGGTGTTTAACTGAGGATTTTTAATTTGTTCTTTTTTTTTTAGTTGCATAGCCAATTCATTCACCTGCTTTTCCTCTTTTACTGATGTTGGCTACATCCTACAAATTATGGTATGTTATCTCATTGTGGTCATTATCTTTAATGAAATTATTCACTGTTTCTATGATTTGTTCTTTTACTTAATTTCCAATTAATTTTTAACTTATGATTCAAAGGCCCTTTATTAAAAATAATTTTTATTGCCTTATGTCCAAAAAGGGTGCCTTTAACATTTCTGCTTCTTTGCATTTGTTTGGGAGGTTTTTATGTCCAAATACATGGTCATTTTTTGTGAAGGTGCCATTTATCATTGAGAAAACACATATACTTCTTTCTATTCCCATTCAATATTCTCCAGAGACCTACCATAGCTAACTTTTCTAAAGTTCTATTCCTCTTAACTCTTTTCTTGATTATTTTATAGTTAGATTTACCTAAGTCTGAGAGGAATAAATTGAGATCCTCACTGGTATAGTTTTACTTTCTCCTTTTGTAACTCACTTAACTTTTCCTTCAAGAATCTGGATTCTATAACAGCTGGTACATATATGTTCAGTATTGATATTACTTCATTCCTCCTTTTACCAAAATGCAGTTTCCCTTATTATCTCTTTTAATTAGGTCTATTTTTGGTTTTCCTTTGTCTGAGTTCATAAATGCTACCCCTGTCTTTTTTTTTTTTTTTTTAAATTTTACTTCAGCTGAAGTATAATAGATTCTGCTCCAGCCTCTTAATTTAGTGTACATCTTTCTGTTACAAGTGTGTCTCTTGTAAACAGCATATTGCTAGATTCCGGTTTCTAATCTATCCATCTCTAAAAACTTACAACAATAAAAAAAAGAAAATGCATATTAATAAATTGGGTATCAAACAAAAAAACTAGAAAAAGAACAAATTAAAACCACATATCTTGCTTGTTTTAGGAGTTATAAGCTCTCATAAAGTAAAAATAAATTTGGTTTACTTGTGTATATAATCTGCACTGCCTATCAAAGTGTCTTGAAAAATTACAGGTACTTAACAAGTTTTAGCTGGATTGGGATAAAAAAATGAAACCTTTGCGGATATTCCTTAGGAGATTTAAACTGAAATTTAAAAAACTGGCACCTTAAATGACAAAAAGAAGGGCCTAAATCCTCTATTAAAATTAAGCCTCCTACTTTTTCTGTTGGATTCCATTTCTCAAAACTTATTAACCAGATTAGCTGAACTGTACCATACTTGACGTTCCTCATGCAACATGTTTTCTCCCACTTCTAGGCTTTTGCATAAGATGTCATTCATAAGTTGAATGCTCTCCCTCCTCATCTCTGCTTTCTAGAATTCCTAGATGTCTTCTGAGACTCTGCTCAGATGCTACTTCCTCTATAAGGTCTTGTATTAGAGCTCTCCCCCCTCATCCCCAAATTATTCTCTAAGCATTTTGAACTTATTTATATGTGTACAATCTGTTATCTTCAATAGAAAATAAGTTCCTTGAAGACAGGAATTTTTTATTTTTTTTTGTCTTTATATCCCACCTAGCACAACGCCTTATATATAGTAGGTGTTTAATAAATGCTTGCTGAATTGAGGATAGGATATATGTAAATATGTATACGGTAAAAAAGATCGGTTTGAAATTTAGAGTATCATCTTAGTATAAGCAAAAATATATTTCTAGAAATAATTATCTTCACTTTGAAGCTATAAGTGAAATTTTAAAAAATTATAAAGAAAAAATAGAAAAAAACATAAAGACAATAATTATTTTTACCTTATAGCCTTCTGCTCCTTGAATAAGGTCTTTCATGGAAGTAGACAAATTATCTCTTTCAGATCGAACCAATTCAAGTTCTTCCCTCAGAGACTGTGCCTATTATACACACATATCAATATTATGAATTTTTTCAGCACAGAAAAATGCAGATTTGCTTAAACTGTGAAACTTGAGAGTCTGTTCAAAGATATCTTACCTCTTTTCTGCTGGAATCAAGTTCTTTCCTTGCTTTCAAGGCAACAACTTTTATCTTACTTAATTTCTCTTCTTTTTCTTTGGATTCTTTTTCTAAATTTACTGAATACAAGGATGAAAAGAATTATGTTTATTGAAATGAATTGAACCCACAAGGAGCTCTTTAGTAAAATGCTCTTAGGATCTGTTCACAGGCATATTCAATTCAATATTTTTATCAATGACCTGAATAAAGGCAGAGAGGGTATGTTCATCAGATCTGTGGAATATCTGAATCTAGGAGAAATAAGTAACATAGAGTATGACAGAAGTAGGATCCAAAAATGAGCAGGTTATTATTATAATCAAAATTTAGCAAGATAAAACAAGTATTTTGGTTCTGGGCAGAGTATTTTAGAGAAAATATTGATGAGGATGGTGATGAGACTAGAAAACCTGCTATATAAAAACTGAGAACAGAGAAAGTTTAATCTGGAGAAGAGAAGACACATTTCTGGGGGTTGTGGTGGTGGTGGTGGAGTGCAGAATAGTTGTGGGATACAGTAGAAAGAGTTCTGGATTTAGAGTCAAAAGTCCTGGGTTCTAACTCTGGCTCTGCTACTTACTGCCTACATATCTTTGGACAAGGCCTTTGAATCTCTCTGGGCTTCAATTTCCTCATCAACAGTGAAAGGGTTGGATTAGAGGTCCCATTCAACACTAAATCTTTTATCCTACAGTCCAAATGTTGTCTCCTGCTTGTGGGCTTTTATATACATTGTCACTCAAGAGTGTAATGCTCCCCCATCTCATCTCTGCCTTCCAATGGCAGAAGGACTAGATTGATTGACTAATTTATCAAAGGACAGAGCTAGGAACAATGAGTTTCAGAGGCAAATTTCAGTTTGATATAACGAAAAACTTCCTAATAATTAGAACAGTCCACAAAAAGGGTTGTCTTTCTAGGTAATGAGTTATCCATTACCTAAGTCTTCAGATGGAGATTCTGGAGAACTATTTGCCCGGGATGTTACAGAGAAGAAAACTATTCAAGTCCACCTTTGACTAGATGACATCTGAAATCCCTTCCAATGTTAAGACACTTGGCATAAACGTAATTAGAAATCATCAAGATGGAACTCAATAAACATATTGTTGGGCTGTTAAAGTGGGAAAGTAACATTAATCTTTTTAATCATTTAAGGTCTAACTGCTCCTGGTTAAGTTAGGTAAACAGAGTGCTTTCATGGCATTAGTATCCTTCAATTTCCCCAAATATCCTATATTTGGGTCCATTTTTGGATTGTCAAAGGTGATGGGGAAGCCATTACAACAGTACAATGGAGTAGGAAGGCAAGGACTATAGGGATTAATTTGTGAGTCAGGATCAGGTCAAACAGAATAAACCACTTGGCACAGTCCATTTCTAAAGGGCCTCAGGCATTCTCATCTTTGCTGGAGATGTATTTCTCATTTTCTAACCTACACCGTGGTGCTTCTGTTCTCGTTCTCTCTCCAACTTACCTATAGTGTTCCTGTTATTATCATGATGATGTCTAAGCCCCTGCATACTGAGTTTCTGATTTCAATTTTTTCATTAATTGGCTCTTGATTATTCCTTTGTTTGGAAGATGGCTCTGACACTGATCCTTGATTAAATTCTAATTAACCAAAAGAGAGAAGCTTAGGAGAAAAAAGCCTGACCTCTTGACAATTTTCTTCTTTTCTTCCTCATTTTAACACTACTACCAATTTAGTTTTTGATATTTGCTTCCTATCTTAAATATTTTTCACTTTCACTAAGAAGTTACATCAAGATGGTGGCTGATAATATTTAACAGATTTCTTATCTGGTATGTAGTTTTCACCTTGATGTTAAAAAAGCCTTCTTAAAAGGACAAAGAGGGAAAAGACTACTATGAGAACACAGATCTATTATTTGAGACATTTCTTGATCATAAATCTTGTATTTATAAATTAAATGTCAACTGAATTGATGTTTTGATTGGGAATCTCTAAAATTTAAATGGTAGGACTGAAGGATAGATTATATATTTTTTTTGCTTCACGTTTAGTAAACATAGTATTAAGTTGGGATTTCTATATATTTTCAAGTGAGAAATTTCCAAATGTTTTCTATTGCAGAAGATGTTTTTAATTAAAGAAACTGCTTCTTTTCATTAATTAACTGGATAGGCCATAGTTATATATAAGCACATTCTTACTGAAGGTATTTTTACATATCAATGCACTTCAGAGAGGAGGAACACAGAAAGGAAAATTGATAAAATTAGCACTAGGGAAAAAAAAAACCCATACCTTAGCCGAGCAGTTATTGAGAAGACCGATTTATATAACAAAATGCTAAATAAAACTTATCATGCTATTCTTTTTAAGCACTATATATTTTGTTATATTATGATTATTTTTTCAATTACAATTTTTTCAAGGCACTAATATAATGTGGTTTTGTTATGATCATTTAAAAAAATTGAGATTTAAGGAGCAACTAATATAAAAGTAAATTTCTCCTAAATTATTTATAAGTAGCCATAAAAGTCAGTAAATATGATCCAGGAGTACTTTAAAATTATCTTGTTTAAATCTGTTTAACCAGATTTTCTTTCCAGATAGCTTTAACTTACTATTCAAAAAGATAATGTTCAGAGAAAGTTGATTTGAAACTACCAAATATAAAATACATATTGTTCAAAATCTAATACTGCATGACGTTTCTGGATCCTCCTTCCCTTACAATCCTTGTAGCAAATCTGACCTCAAACCCTTACTAGCTGTATGACCCTGGGGAAGTTACTTAACTCTGCCTCAGTTTCCTCATCTATAAAACAAGGTGGAGAAAGAAATGGTAAACCGCTCTGGTATCTTTGCCAAGAAAACCCCAAATGGGGTCACAAAGTAGGACATGACTGAAAATGACTGAACACACAACTATACTGCTACCTTTTTGGTATCTGAATCTGTATATCCCAGGAGCCTAACACAGAGCCTCACAAAGAACAAGTATTTAATCAATTTTTGAAGTGAACAATGAAGGAAAACGCAATTAGTACATTCATCCACAAACACTGGTTTAAATTACAGCTAGACTTTTTTCACTAATGGTAAGGCTCACTGCATTTGAAGACCAAGCAAACTGCCAAATGAGCACGTAAAGATGGCAGAAGACAAAGTAAAAGTGGGTTTTTTCTTTTAGGCAGTACTATATGACTGCCTAAATGAGTGGAGAAAAACAATAACTAGTTAAGCACTAGTTAGTTTCCTAATTGGAAATCTAAAGTATCTTTTAGTTACCACTATCTTGGAGCTTGCTGCTGCACGGTTACCAATCTAATCCTTTGAAGTTCCATCTCATCTGGAAATATAAACTTGGTGACTGGACATGACACTGCTTAGTTTTCATGACAACTTTATCTATGCAAAACAATACAGAAGTTTATTTGCTCTTATTACTTTATTAACCCTTTCTACTAATCAGGAAATCACTATCAAGAAACTGGCTAAAGACAGATTCAATAATCAGAATAGGCAGAATGAATGTGTGTGGTTGTTTGCATAAATGTAAAGTACTCCTACTAAGAGTTCATAGGATCACTGACCTCAGAGATTATCTAATATAATCCCCTCATTTTACAAACGAGGACTGAGGCTCAGAAATGATGAGTGTTTTGTCTACAGTCACACAAGCGGCAGATTCAAAATCCAGTTCTCTGACTCTAAACCTAGTATTCTTTCAATTCTAACACATGCTCTGTACTTCCATGTTATGTTACTTCACAGTATTGCTAAATTGACTCTTTGAAATCTGTAGCTTGGATTTTTTTTTTTACTTAAATGATAATGACCTTTAACAACTGGTAGTTCATTAACTTTAAACTCTAAATCTTCCACTTTTTTCTCCTTAAGTAATTCACCTTTCATATTATACCAATTTAAATGTCACTTCTGATAAAATGCAACTATCTTTGAAAAATAAAAACAAACTTTTCAAAACAATTCTGCTATTAGACTAAGATTTCAACCTTTAACAAACTCTACATTGCCTTTCCATTTGCTTAGTCACCGACGCTCAAAACTTTGGTATCACCTGTTACTGTCCCACATCCGAACTGGCTGGCCAATCCTATTGATTGTGTCCCTGGTACACCTCTACTAATTCTGCTCACGACAACGTCTTCTCCTTCACATTCCCACTGCCATCACCCTAGTCCGAGCCTTCATGATTGCTTGGATTAGAGGGGTGGCTTCCTAACCAATCTCCCTGTGTACAGCTCTCCACCCAATAAATCCTCATGACATTGTCAAAGCAACCTTTTTAATTCAAGGTCTGACAATGAAACTTTACTATTCAAAGACCTCTGTGTCTTCTTATTATCTACCAAAAAAAAAAAGTTCAAACTTCAAAGACAAGGACTCAAGGTCCTCTATAGTCTGGCACCAAATTACCTTTTGCAGACTTCTCAATGTAATATTCATGTTCATATAACTGGCACTCAAGCCAAACTGGACTATTCATCATGTCATAAACAGACACCACACTTCCTTGCCTTGATGTCTTTGCTTATTCCATTTTTCTATGCCTGGAATTTCTTCATCTCTCCTCATTTCTACCTGCTGAAATCCTAATCATTCTTTAAGATTTAGCTGAAATGCCATGTCTTCTAAATTTTCCCTGACCTTCCTAGTTAGAAAACAATTTCTTTCTCTTCAGAACTTTCATTAACACTTTGTAACTATTTTATGTTTATATATTCTTCTATTCCTATACATCTTATACCCTTTATTAAAAGGTCCTTAAGAATTGAATATTGTATATTTTAGGTGCTCATTGTTTATTGAACAAATGTATGCAAATGCAGTATGTTTTAATTTAGAAAGTTACGTGCTAAGGCTGTCTTAAGGCTGATTTTATTTTTATCACAATCAATTCCAATTTCTATAGCATTATTCATGCTTTTCAATTAAAGATTAGCATCAATTCAAGTGACTAGTAAGTGACTGAGAAATAATCTTGTGGTAACTGTAATATTTCATGCTAATTATTAGTCGGTAATCTAAAAATGTTTTGGGAGATGATTTGTTAGTGAAGTTATTCAATGTAAAATATATAATTACTTAAATGATGTCACAATACTTAAAAAAACCTACAATAGTCAAATTAAAAATGGTACACAGAAAATACCAGAAAACAATAAATTTATAGAAATAAAGGGTTGAACCTCCTTCTGAACTCAAACCTTTTCAGATGAATTTAATTCTTTAAAATTTCCAAGACTTTATAACTTCCTTTGTATTACATGTTTAACTAAACCAAACTTGACACCCTAAGCCTTTAAATTCCCTTCCTCCCCACCAGATCAAACATCCTTCTCTACAGACAAATACTTGGAAAAAGAAGGCATAACTTAATAAATAGTAAAGGCACTGGGAAAAGAATATTTGCCATAAAAATCTAATAGCTGCATGAATTCTTATTCCATAACAATGTGATATTAAAAAAAAAACAATTATCTTTACAAAAAGATAGATTAAACAAAAATAATTACCAATTTTATCTTCTAGTTCCATTACTGAATGTTGATCACTTTTTACAGAGTGTGAGTTCTCTAAGGAATCCTACATTTTAAACAAAGGCAAAAAAAAAAAATGCAAAATGATGTAATTAGACCATTTTTTTTTGTAATGAGGAGTTAGTAAGAATATCATTGTCTTGAAAAAAGGGAAGCTAAAATCACAAGTGATTTACATAAAGATTTTTTTTTGGGGTAGCTTTTTCTAGACCAACAATGTAACTAATATTGAACTCATAATAGTATTATCAAAATTTATCAAATTATGAAAATAAATCAATAATACAAAGTTTAAATGTAGAAAAGCGTAGCATCCACGAATAAGGTACACAATCTGTAACATGGAGTCCTCATAATTAAATATAGACAAGATCAAATAGTTCTTCCTGCTTACCTACTACTATTAAATAATTTTTAGGTATGAGAATTCCACATTTTAATTAAAGGGAAGTATCCATACAGTTCTATTTTTGTTTTCAAACTGTTGCTTACTGTGTTACAAGTTTGTATGCAAAATTTTCTGGATCTTAGTGACCTGCTAATCTCACTATTCCTTTGCAAGATTAAGATAATTAAAATCTAAAAAATAAAATGTTTAGTGCTTGTAACCTTCAATATTTTTGAGAAAGCTTACCATTTAGAAATAAAATTAAAAAATGCTTAATTCTCTTCTGAATTTATCTAAGTTTATTCTTCCAAAGTCTTATGATTAAAAGCTAGTGTTTTGAACAGGCATACTCTATAATCAAGGATTAATTTTATTAATAAAATAAAATAATTTGCAACCTTTAAAGATGTCAGTTCTGCTTTCACATCACGTAGTTCTGCCTCTCTTTGTTTAAGCAACAGTCTTACATTTTCTTGTTCTTCTACAGAAGACTTTCCTTGATCCTGAATTTCATTTTTGTTACATAAAAGATTCTCAGAAAGTTCTGTTATCTGAGCTAAAAGATTTTGGTTTTCAAGCCTAGTCTTTTCATTTGCATTATTCATCTCTTGAAGGTCGAGTTGCAATGCTGCTTTTTCTGACAGACATCCTTCCAATTCTTCCTTTAGAAGAACTCTCTCTTTTTCATAGTCTTCAAGTAAAGATTTAAGTTCTTCACAATGAACCAAATTCTCTTCTTTGATATGTTCATTTTCTTTCTGCAACTGTAGCACTGTTTCATTATTCTGAAAAACCAAAGTCTGTTTTTCCTCCTTCATTCTACCTAAAGAGTCTCTTACAGCTTGTAGGATAATCATGATATCTTCTTCCTCCTTTATTTCTGAAACTCTGGATCCCATCTCTTTCAGAAAATCATACAGCTGAGACCTAACAACTGAGTTTTGTGTTTGTTCCTTTACAAATAACTTATCTAAATTATCTTTTTCTTCAATTGCCAATTGAAGTTTATTTTCCAATTCTGTAGCTTGCTCTTTAAAGCTAATGTCTCCTTTTTTTTCAGATATAAAAGTGTCCAAATCTTTACTCACTTGGTCTTTTTCCTTATTTAGTCTTTCATTTTCTTCCTGAAGGTTCTTAATTTGAGATGATAACTTTTCCTGTTCTTCAGACAGAACTTTAACTTGAATCTCAAGTTTTTCCATGTTTTGGTTGTTGTCCTTTTTTTCTTTTAAAGTTTCTTCCCATGCTTCTGTTAATGCTTTCACCTTTTGTTCCAGTTCATTGCTGTACTGAGTAATTTGATCTATTTTTTCCTTAAGTTCTACAATCTCTTCTTCTTTCCTTTTACATTCTTCACGGATGTTATCCAACTCTTCCTCGGCATTTTGTATTTTACTTAAGAAATCATCTTTTTCATCACTAAGAATACATATTTTTGCCTGTAGCTCTTGTATCGTTATATCTTTCTGATTAAGACTAATCATTATTTCTTCATTTTTCTCTTGAAGGCTCTTGATTACATTTTCATGTTCCTGTGCCTCATCCTGCTTAGATAACAGTATTTCTTTTTCTCCTTTGAGACGATTCACAGTTTCAATAAGACTATCTTTTTCATTAAAAGCAATTCTGAGTTTTTGCTGCAATTCATGAACATCAGAAGCTTGCTGTTGTTTCATGGATTCAAATTCCTGGCTGATCTTTCCAGCTGACTCACCCAATTCTCTCTGTAGAATTTCCATGGTTTCTCGCAAACCCTCATAATTTAAAACTGCTTCTTGCTTTTCTTGCTGTAAATTTTCATATTGTTCCCTAAGATCCTGCATTTCAAACATTATGGTTAATTTTTCTTTTTCTGAATTTGATAATAAAATTTGCTTTAGTTCTGATATTTCTTTTTGGTACTCTTCTTTAAGACTCTGTACTTCCATGTTATGTTGTTTCACAGTATTACTAAATTGATTTCTTGAAACTTCTAGCTCTGACTTTAATTTTTCAATTATACAACAATGATCTTCTTTAACAAGTAGTAGTTCATTAACTTTAAACTCTAAATCTTCCCGTTCATGAAAAAACTCATCCTTTATATTCTGGGCATCCATCTCCAGTTTTAACTTGAGATTATTCATATAGGTTACTTCATCTTTTAACATACTATGCTGTGACTCCAGTTCTTTCAAGGAATCTTCTAAGTGTTTAACTTTTTCATTAACTATTTGTTTTACAGCTGTATCCTCTTGGATCTCCCTGTCATATACTGGATTTTCTTTAACTGGATTCAGTGCTTCTTTAAGGTTTTCAAATTCATGCTTAGAGTTCTCTTGAACGTTTTCATCATTTGCCGTACTCTCCATTAGGTGTATAAATTTGTTTCTTTCTTCTTCATGTTCTTTACCAGAAGCTTCAAGCTGATGCATCAATGTTGCCATTTCTTCTTTGTGTGTAGTCTTTAGCTGAAAAAGCTCCTCTTGCAAGCTACTGATTTCACTTTGGTAATGTTGAGAATTAGCCTTGATAACGTTTTGGAGATCACTAATTTCTTGGTTCTTTTCCTCAGTAATGGCTTCCAATTGCTTTTTCAGATATAAAATTTGTTCTTCATAAGCTGGTTTAATTCTCTGAATCTCTTCCTGCAACTTTTTGACATCATCTTGGGATTCACTACTAAATTTAAGCTCTTCTGAAAGTCCTATTTGTTTTTTCACTGCTTCCTCCAACTCCTTCTCTAAGGCAGCTCTATCTTTACTGTACTTTGACTGTAACTGAGTCAATTCAGTTTTCCAATTTTCAATTTCCTTCAAGTAACTTCTATTTGAGTGTTCAAACTCCTTCTGTAGGTCTTCCATCTTAGTTATGGAATGCTGGTTTAAAAAAAAAATACATTAATCATTTGAAAAGATACGATTAATCTTAACTTCCAGTTTTCTTTGCATCTTTTTAATTGCAGTCTAACCAGATAGAAGAGGAACCAAGCAGAAGTGGTAGAGAATAATTATCCTAAGAAGGCTCAAAAATTTAGCTTAATTCCTGTCCCATCACAATAGGAAGAAGGACCACGAAAAAAGCTTTTTTTTTTTAATCTCTCCCATAAGGCTCAGCCTGAATGAAAAAGCAACATGTTTTAAACAATAGACCAAAAGTAACATTTAATGAACACTATTGTAAAAGATGCCATAAATACTACAGCCAATGGTTGGACAAAAAGCAGATAAAATCTATGAATCTGACTTTCCTTTAAAAAGCTCCTAAAAATTATTTTTTACTTTAAAAAGTAAACTTTCTCTTAATCAAATATGGTAAAGTATAATTGGACTTTGTTTAAAAGAAAAAGGAATTTCATAGCCAGAATTGTGACAGAAATGGATGACAGGATTAGCACTGTACTTTTTAAGAGCAGGGATACTTAGGATCATCAGATGTATTACAACTCCTATAATGGTAAATGAGGGAAGATTATTATAGTTTATGCTACTTATATATAGAAAAAAACATGAAGAAAACCAATTTATCACTATGGAATGAACTTGATGAGGGTACTTCTAGCTCAAAAATCTATGCTCCTATTAACTGTATTTAAATAGTTAATCATAACATTGAAATAATGTTATTCCAAGTCTTTATATAATAAACATTACTTATGTCTCTCTCATCTCATCCTGCACCTACATCTTCACTTTGGGTATTTAGGTTTTATTAAAGATGTCTATATTTCATATACTTGTAGCTGACCCAAGGAGAAAAAAATAGATCATTTAAACTCCCAGACATAGTTCCTGTCAACCTTGGAGAAGATGCATTTATAAGTAATTTTTGACCACTGTCCAATTGTTATTATTTGATGAGAGTTGAAAATAAAAATTGCTTGTCTGTGGTAAACATGGGAAGAAAACTTTCTATAGTGGCTTTAGCCTCCATTTTCTGTTTGTTTTTCCCCTCAATGGTATTCCTTTTTCTCTTCCTCTGACTCTCTTCCCCCATTAGCTGCTCATCACCTGGCTTTCTAACCCTTTCCTCAACACAATAAAAACTTTGGCTAAAACTCATTTACAACAGTGTTAACTATTTTGACTACTTACAAGTCTAAATTTTTTTCCATAAATGTCAAATGAAAGGCAGTTTAATCAGGTGAATCTTGGTGGAGAATTTATAGGGCAAGGGAACTCCCTCCCAGGGCCTTGTGAAATCATAAATCATTGAGATTAGCCTAGAAAGTAAAATTACTTTGACTGGTAAAGGTTGGTGGGTTGGGCTAGAACAAACAATGGGCAGCTCAGCTGGTCTTTCTTCTATCCTGTCCCTCAGTGACCCTCAACCTTTTCTTTCCATATCCCTGTACTTTGATTCACACTGGGGAATCCTGTCTGTTTCTAATTCTCACTGACTCATTGCCCCTCCTCCATGCCATCATCCCTAGACTAGATCTTGCTTTATTCCAAATAGCATTGTAATTATTACTTACTTTGATATTTTAAAAATATCAGAATACGTATATATGTAAAATAAAATCACTTTAGAATCATATAAACAATAAATACATAAATAAAAATAAATAAAATTACTTTTTTCTCTCCAAAATGATTTTTCTCAATACTGCCAACATGATTAAACAATGCAACAATAAGCTAGAGATACTAATTGAGAATATATAAAAAAAAGAGAAGACTATATTTCCATACTTCAGTTTCTTGCTTCATTTGAACATTTTCTTTCTTCAAAGCTAAACAGTGTTGCTCAACCTCTGCTTTTTCCAGAAGAATAGCATCCAGCCGTTCTGTGAGAGCCTATTTTTGAACAAGACAATGTGTTTGTAAAGTACTAATCAAAAAACAGATTATAGTTCAACTACAGAACATTAATATAGTTTTGAAACATTTTCTGCTTTTTATCAGGGAAATGGACGACCAGACACTTATTTTTAAGAACTCTCTATGGCCTGCTATCTAGAAATGGTATAATAAAACTCTGAGGATAATCCGATGGTGGAACAGCTAATATTTCACAAGAATTATTTTCAATTTGATTTAACTCTCACAAAGGCTAAAAGACTAGAGGGAAGGTAACAGCTTTGAGAGAACTAAGGTAATTGGAAAAGGAAGCTGGGTTGGGAAAAGGCAGGGTTGAAGGGAAAAGGAAAGAATATTTGGATTTGGTCTTGTTGGGTTTCAGGGGATGGAAAGACATTAAAAAACAATTTTTAGATGGGCATTATAATGTAAAGAAAACAATACTGAAAGACTTTGGAACTCTGATAAATGAAGTGATAAATCATGATTTCAGAAGACGGAAGGCAAAGCATAACCCCTTTTTCTTGGCAGAGATGTGGTGGACTATGAGTGCAGAATGAGGCATACTATGCTTTAATAATTGGCCACATATTATTTGCTTTGCTTGATTTTATTTACACGGAATGGGTCGAAGGTAGGGAGGAAAAGTCTGTGGGCAGTGGTAGTGATATTTCAAAAAAAAGAATATGAAGACAAAACAAACACTCAAATGTAGAAGCAAGACCAATTATATGGGCCAAAGAGTCCAAGATACAAAAAGGTCAAGAATTCCTGATTTTAGAGTCCACTCTTGTTTTACAGATGAGAAATTGAGGTGTTAAAAGTCTAAGTGACTTTCCCTAGGTCAGAGAGATAGAAGAGCCAGTATTAGAACTCAAATCTCCTGATTTATCGTAGTGTTTTTTCCAATGCGCTAAGCTGCCAACCTGCAAGGAGACATGACTTATCAGATATTTCCCATGAAAGTAAATGCATATAAAAACAACCAATCCCACTAGTACTACTCAGAAATGTGCTATTACCTGAATTACATCATTAGTTTCCCCAGCAAGAGGTTTTGATCTGAATTCTTCAATCTCCTTCTCTAATTCTAAAAAAAAGTTTAAAAAAAATCTGTCATTACATTTTGAACGACTCAGAAATCAGTAAAATAATTGCATAAAGATTCTACAAAAGAGTTTTGTAAAACGTATAGTTATATCTTTAATTTACAATGTGGCAAAGCAACACTTCCACTCCTCCTTTCTCTCTCAACAATGTATTAAGTACCAAGGTAAAACCTATCATACCCTCTAAGATCAGCACACAACAGGTTATGTGTAGACCTAAATATAACTACAAATACCCTCGTCTGGAGCAGGATTTCTTTCTAACTAAAATATCGTCCCTTTTCACCTTGATCTAAATATTACTGAAACCAGAACTGGCAATTTTTCTAGTAAGAATTTAAGTTTTAGGGTGACATTTTTAAATCATTAAAAATTCAGGAAATTCAAAGGTAACACATGTAAATATTCACATTAAAGAAAGATAACAGAGTTTTCTTTTTTTAAGAGGAAAAGATAAACTGAAGATAGCAGTCAATGAATATTAATAACAACAATAACTACTAACATTTATACAGTGATTACTATTGCCAGGCACTGTGCTAAGTGCTTTACTATTATCTCATTTGATCCTCACTCTCTAATTTCTTTGATACTTTCTGAAACAGTTCTAAAAACTGATAGTTTTAAATTATTTCATTAGAACCATCTCTTTTTCCACCCTTCATCTTCTAATTCCACTCACCTCAAACAAGCTTTGTTCTATCCTTCTAATATTCCCTTCAGCTCAATAAGACAAAGGCAACTGCTCTTTAGTGTGGTAAGATAATGAAAACATCAAAGGCTAGAGTGGGTGGAATCTTAAATAGCCTTAGGATCCATAAGACAGTCTGGAAAGAATTATATGTTTTGCATGCTATCATCAAGGACCAAAGCTAAGTCAGTGTAATATTAGCAATTATATAATTTTTCTAAAAAGAAAATGAAGATTTGGGCAGTTAAAGTGAACATTTTATCAATCCAATTACCTGTGCATCTTGATTTAACTTTCTGCATCAACATCATCTGCCTCTTGGCAAACTTGATGAGATCTTCCTTGGGTAATGTTTCCAACTGAAATGTATTTAGATGTATTTAAATGTATTTAGATAACTATTCCTAATTCCATGTTTACTTTTTAAGCAATCAATTATAAAAAGAATCTTTAAGCTTTTTTTTTAAAGACCATTTTTGTGGGCTTCTTAAGAAACTGGAAGTTTGACTAAATGAAAATTCAAGAACTGTTTCTAAGACAGAAAGAAGAGACAAGTTAGGCTACCAACAACGTAATGTTTTCATAGACTTTTCAGGAGAAATTATTGACCTCTTAGATACACAGAGACCTTAGAGATCAAGTGATTCAATACCCTAATTTACAGAAGAAGAATCTGAGATCTCTTAGGTACAAGTCATAACTAAGGGTCACACCACTAGTTAGTAGAAGAACTTTGACTATCCCAAGTCTTTTGACTCCTACTTAGTTTACTTTTTTGTTTGTTTGTTTCACTACAGAAATATGCACAAAGTGCTTAACTTTTGGATTGTGGGTTCTTTCAGTAGTTATAACATCTCTGCCAATTAGGAAATAAAAATGTATTCGTTAAATTTATTGAGGTGTCCCTAATAAGTACCCTCTAAAGGGCTTTCCTACTGTTTTCAAGCTATAAAATAATGGAGATTGGCCTCTAAGGTTCTTTCGGTTCTCAATTTTTGGGTTGTATTAAAATTTCAGGTAATCAATAAGCATTTGCTACATTCAATACACTGTGTTAGGTCCTGGAAATACAACGACAAAAAACAAGCTTCTCATGAAATTTACTGGAGGGAAAACAAAATAATAAGAAAAACAAATATATGGGAAATAAAAGCAAAGTTATTTGGGTAGGGGAGGGCCCTAGACGCAGACAAGGAAAGGCTTCCAACAACACTGGAGTTAAGCTGTAAAGGAAGTTATGGATTCTAAGAGGCAGAGGCAAGGAACTCTTCATAGAATTTGCTAAGTAACCCCGTACGCAGCCCTAATTAGGATTTTTTTTTTTACCTTAGATTTGCCAGTTCCAGATGTGGCTGGTGAGGCCACATCTTGCCCGGGATCCTGCAAGAAAAGCAGACTCAAACCTGTGAGTTGTCAGAATTGCGTTCTTTTAAAGGGGCTACATCGATAAACACACCCACTCACACCCACCTCTCTCCTGGAACCAGGTGAGCAAAATATAGGGTGTCCCACAAAGTCTTAAGCTTTAATAATTTAAAGACTTTGGGGACACCTTGTACTCCTTTAAGGGCAATGAGAAGGGCTTGGGGATGTAGCGGGGAGGCGGGAGGGCGAAAGGTGGGATGCTTCAGGCAGGTATGAGGAGACATTAGAAAGGGAGAGGTTGTCACTCCCGGGGAACTTCCTGCATCGGGGCTGGGGGGCAGGAAAGACACGGGCCCGGCGCGGGGATGGGGGGGCGGGGTACAGGCAGCCACCGAGGGGGTCCAGGGGCGGCTGAGGAGGCCTCCGACGCCAGGAAGACATCGTGAGGGCAGGGGTAAGGGGAGGGGCGTCTACGCCGCAGGCACCTCAGTTTCTCCCCAACCCTACATCCCCGGAAGCGCCTTACCTCCATGTCCACGCCGGCATCACACACACCCACACACAAGCACACCCCCCCCCCCCCCCCCCCCCCCCCCCCCCCCCCCCCCGGCCCGGACTAGCCGGTCGCTGCCGCCGCCGCCGCCGCTGCCGCCCCCGCCGCAGTCCCTTCACTTCCGTCTCCAGCAGCTGCTGGGGCAGGAGCCACTGTTGACGTAGGCTCCATCCGCGGGTCAAGGGTGACGTTTCACCGCAGCCCCGCCCAGCCCCGCCCCCACTGTTACGTCGGTAACCGCGGCACCGCCTCTGTGGCTCTTCCCCCAGCTTGCTCAGCCCCACCCCCACTCCTCGCCCCACGGCCTGTCGGTTGAGCTGGCGCTTCCTGCTTCCGCCTTCCAGATCCGGGAGGAGGCCGCGGGGCCTAGTAACGCTGTTTTTCCTCCTTTCCTCCTTGTTCTGTGAATCCGGGGGAGGGGGAAGGGGAAGAAAAGGGGAAGGGGAGGCCAAGGGAGGTGGACGAAATATCGGGCTCACCCCCACGGAGACACACACACACGCACACTCACACACTCTGTCTCTCTGGGTCTCTGTCGCTCGCTCTGTCTCCCTCTCTCTCTCTGTCTCTTTGTATCTGTTTGTCTGTATCTCTGTATCTGTCTGTCTCTGTCACTCTCTGTCTCTGTATCTTCCTGTCTCTGTCCTTCTCTCCCTCTCTCAAGCATACACCTAAAACTATGTTGCCAGAGGCACTTAGAGTCACCTAATAGAAAGAAAAGAAAGGCAGTATTAATGCCAGAGTCTTAAAATGACCCACAAAGGTTAGTCTAGGGTTAATCAGGTGCAACCTGTTAAAGGATTCCAAAATGAAAAAACACACATTTGACACACATTTGGCACACATTTGGTGACATTAAGTGTAAATAAATGATTGACCAAAGCAAAACTTTGTGTAGGTCTGCTCTGTTCATGGCCCTGTGCCCTTTGAAGGGATAATGGAAGGTGGGTCATGTTATAGATGTCACCCCCCAAAAAAAGAAGATTAATTTTCAAAACTGCCAACATATCTCAGCATAAACTTCATTCCCATAAGCACTTGAGGGGAAAATTAGCAGTGCTGTGCTCCTAGTGAAGGAGATTTGAAATTGGAGATAGAACAAGGTGCATCAAACTGGGAAGAAGAATCAGAAAAAATAGGAAGAGTTGGCTGCAATATTTATATCTGGATAATGGGCCAACTGGTGATCACCCATCAATCTGGACACCTTGTAAGGTTTGTGACTTTCCTGTGGAATTAGGTTAATAAACCTGGATACCCCTTTGAAACTTAGATAGTTGTCACCTGGTGAAAAGAAAGATTGCTGGATTTTGAGTCTCTACCACTACCCCTTCCAGCTCTAAATCTATGATCCTATCATCCTAAGAATGATAATGTTGCTATGAAAAAACACTCCAAGAGCCAGCTAGGTGGTGCAGTGGATAGAGTACGGGCCCTGGAGTCAGGAGGACCTGAGTTCAAATGTGACCTGGGCACATAACATTCACTAGCTGTGTGACCCTGGGCAAGTCACCTAACCCCATTGTCTAGGAAAAACAAACAAACAAAAAAAACCACTCCAACAGACCTTTGATTTCATCAATTTGTATTCCTCCTCCAATGATACACTGCAAGCTATCCATGCTTGCCCATCCTATGTGACTGTTGTTGTCTATGTTCCTCTGGTAAGTTCACCACAGGAGGTCTGTGCAATGTGCTGTGAAGGTGGTTAAGCCTCGTTCTTGCTTTCTAACCAGTCTATCTTTTCTTCCAGCTCTACATTTCTCTGATATTTAAGCAAATAGGTGGTTAACGAGTAGATGCTGCTGTGCCACATTAAACTGTTCCTATTTAACAGGAATGATCAGAATCTGGGCAAGTTTCGTACTCAGTCTGGCTGTCATGGCACTTCATTGTTCTGGTCAAAAGTACCGGGTTCTTTTAGTCTTTCTCTGGGTGGCCTTGCCAACTCATCAGAAAAGGAAATGTGGTTAAGGTGGATCTACCCAATTAAAACAGCTCTCAAACTCCTATCCTAATGGCAAAATTTGACCTCTTATTTGGACTTGTTATATTGTACTGATCCCAAGTCACACTATTGTGGCATAATGGAAGCCTTCCCATTTAGGAAGAGATAGAACATACCCATCTATAAGTAGTTTCTTATTCTTGGCAAAAGCACATGTATATATGTATATGTATATGTATATGTATATATAATATATGTATATATAATACATACACATACATACCCCATAATTATATAGATATACTCCATACACATAGGTATTTCATTTCCATTTCATTTCTCTTTCATTTCATGTATATTATATATGAAATGAAATTTTCATTTCTGTTTCAATTCGACATATGTACATATAAATAAGTGAGTTTTGTTTTATGTGTATATGAAATGAAACAAATTTGAAATGAAATACATATGTGTATTGTATATGCATATGTAAATATGAATATACCTATATATGTTTATGTATGGGTATATGCCTATATAAGTGTATGTGCACACACACATATATATACATGGTATATATGTGCATATATGTATATGTATGTGTATACCACAAAGCTGTAGACCTATAGCTTCTCCTAGGTCCATGCAGCCCCTTCCCTGCCCATACTACCCAGTCCAATTTGAATCTTGGAATTCTTTGAAAGTCACTTTTTGGTTTGTTTAGTTTCCCTAGTTGCTCCTGTGAGGAGGTAAAGGAAGAGACTAGAGACTGTGAAACACCATTCCCAGATGATATTTTACTCTTGCCTTGTAGTAGTGCCAGCTATTAAATGAAGTCTTGGTTACTCTGGACTTGAGACTCAGCCCCTCATCCTTGAGCACAGACCATGGACTTGAGATTGGATAAAAATAGGCTCTTATTGTTGGTGCATTTTCCAAACATACTTTGTCCTTGGCAGAGATTTATGACTTTTTTTTTAATGGTAGCTGTATTATCGTTTATTGTAGAGCAGGGGCATACGTAAGGACTGGGCTGACCGACAACATGGAGAACTTGGAACTTCTGCCTGATCTAGTGAAGTGCCATGATAGCCAGTTGGAATGTGGAGAGAGAAACTTGCCCCCTCTGAGGAACCTCCCTAACTTGGCACAGACAGGTTTGTAGGTTGAATCCCAACTGGTTCAAGGACTCTCACAGGTTCAAAGGATAGCCTGGGCTCTAGACCTCCCAAATTATAGTTCATGATTGCCCATTAATTTATCTCTGGTAGGAAGGCAACAAGACACAGTTCAATTCAATGATGTTTACTAAGATGACACAGTAAGAACAATAGGTACAAAACATTCCATTCAGATATCTGAGGGGCATATATATACATTGTCTGTACCAAGACTGAGCACATGCTTATAGTACAATGCTAATGAGGCACACATTCAGGGAATATGTGCTGCAGGGAAACCCATATCTGGGTACTATAGGACTTTAACTCTCTCCCTGTAGAGTCTTCATGCTGGCCCCCATCCCCTTCTCCCATAGCATCTCTGCTGGGTGGGATGCTCAGCTAGGTTCCCAGGGCTTGATCCTCTTCACAGCTCATCTCTTATTTGCCAGGTTTCGTTTTCTCTTGAGTCTATAGTAGGTTCTCTTCTTTGCTGCCAGAGATCCTGATCCTTGAAGCTGCTTCCTCCCTCAAGTGATTGCCTTTCTATTTCTAGTGTGTGCCTCTGCTCCCTGTTGAATGAAGAATCTTCTACTGGTCCATTAGCTCCACAAGGAAGCACCATGGGTAACTGGGGGTGGAGAGTAGGAAGAGAGGATTCTTTTTCTTCTCCCCCAGCCTCCTAAAAGGTGGAGTGATTCTTCCTCAGAGATTGAATTTTTGTTTGCCTGATGGCTTCTTTCTGAACTAACCATAGAGCTGGTGAGCTCAGACCTTCTAAGCGTCTTCAGGCTAATCTTTACCTATCAGAAGGCCAGACTCAACTTCCAGTTCAATCAAGGAAAACTTCTTAACATTTCCAAAGGATTACAGGGTGTTAATATATCTTTGCATCATATCAATGCTTCATTATTTTCTGTGATTACATCAAATGATGGGGAAAGGAACCAAATCACCCCCTCCCTTACCTCTTTATCCCAGACATTGTGCCCTTCAGTTCCAGTTTTCAGTGTCTGAGAAGCATATTATGTCTTTTCTCAGTCTTTAAGTCCTTGACCTTTTTAATGATACCCTCTTTACCTGAAGCCTCCTCCCATCGTTGTTACTTACACACTCTCCCCGCCCCCCCAGGCAGTTGGTGTTAAGTGACTTGCCTAAGGTCACAGCTACTAAGCGTCTGAGGCCAAATTTGAACTCAGGTTCTCCTAACTCCAGACCAGTGCTCTATCTACTGTGCCACCTCTCTGCTCCTTACTGACACACTTCTTTTGCTCCTCTGTGAATAGCCAAAACTTTGCTACTTAGCAGTGAGGATCAAGCAGATCAAGAAGAATGCTACAGATCACAGCTTTTATACTATTTCTGTGTAATTCACTGTTTCTAACACATTGCAGAGAGTTCACAAGTACTATGTATCTCTCCATTGCCTTTTGGGTGATCCTTGATTTCAGTTCTGTAGCAATTAGAACATTCCATAATTCAACCTTACAAAATCTGCAGAAGACCATTTGTGTTAAGAAAAAAGAGATGTGTTTTTATTTCAGGGAGATGCTTGGAGGTCATTAAAAGAATTTTTCAATTTCCCGAAGGCTATTCAGTTCACTTTCCTATTCCATCGTGGGCCTAGTTCAGTGTTCATTTGCAGTGCATTTATTAAGCACCTGCTGTGTATCGAAGGACTGTGATAGACCTTGGGGATACAAAGACAAACATGAAACCATCTCTTCCCTCAAGCATCTTATATTCTATATTATACAATTATGTGAACTCTATATGTTGGCCATCCACCTATGTGTCATATTCTGAATAGCAGGGATTCTTCAACAGCTTGTTTTTTCCTGGGTAGATTGTCATTTTAGTTTTTTTGTTATTCAAATCTAAATTAGAAATTTCATAGTTGTCTGACAAGTTTTGAA